TGACGATTGGAGTCTTCAATTTGCTTCGTGTTCGTACGACGAAACTTACTTCGGACTCCTTTTCCGGGCGCGTACAAAAATAAAGTACGAAGTATGGTGGAGGGGGAGTGGGCATGTCTTGCCTCCGTCAGCACTTGTCCTTTCAAATTTCCTGGTGCCTATTAAGGCCCTATCAGGCTGGTCTTGGATGGCATCGATCGTGGATTTGTTTGTCCCGGCTCACGCATTTTGATCGAACATACTTCGTAACCGCCAGACAGGCCGACCGACCCGTCTCGGTCTGTCTGCTTTGAAAGGCCAGTTCGTGGAACACCTTCAAACCAAGTCACAGCTGGCGCATTATTTTAGAGAGTTGGAAGTTCTCTTCTTCCCATCTTCCCTCCCCCCTTTTCCCAGATTACGAAGCATCAAGCATTTTGATCACAGATACCCAACCTTAAATCTGCCTTTTGCCCTATCATCTGTCGACGGTGCCATGATGATTACGTGCTTCCCGCACCCAGCACAGCCTGCGGTGTCACCGGCGGATGCTTCTTTGCCCCGAACCGAAGAACTTCCCATGATGTGTTTTGCTTGGTCTTTCTGCAAGGGGAACCACTGAGAGCGGTGTACGTTTGCAAGGGACAGAGAGCACGTTATTTGTGAATTGGCACACACACACACACGCACTCTCCAATTGTCACTATGTGTGTGTGTGGTGGGGGGGCTGCGCAGCCTGGTTGTGGAGATTGCAGACTGAGGCTATTATGTGTAGTTGTGGCTGGTCGGCTGGCTAGCAATCATGGAAGACTGAATCAAGTTGATCTTTATTACTTCGTACACACACTTGCCGGGCCTTGCCGAATATTGGAGCCTATCAGACACATTCTCCCTCGATGCGTTCACCTACTCGCAAACATTCCGTGCTGCTGCGCAGTTACAACTAGTCTGGTCAAGCTAACACGAGGCGCAGCAGCTGGTCGCGGGATGGGCTTGTGTGCCGAGCTAGTGTCCTCGTAGTGCTAATTAGTGTTAGTGCGCTGTTTAAGCCTGATCAATGTGACCTCAAATGGTTCCTGTTACTGCCAGGCATGGCGACTCAATCACGCTGAAGACCTTGACTTGGCCAGCCGTGGCCTCCATCTGGGTCAATTGGTCGATGTGGAAAAACTACGTCGGCTTGAGGAGAATTACTTCATAAGAAAAAGAGGTATGGAATTTTTACAATTGGGCACTGGAGCCGAGTTCAATGCGACCGTCTTCGAACCAACTAGGTTGCTAGTGGAAGTTGAAGCGAGCACGAGGTTGTCCTCCTGGACAGACCCATCATTGGCATTGGCTTCATGGGAGTCTCCATGAAATGAGAACGAGGATAAAGAATGAAAATTTGAACAGCCCAGATGATGAAGACCTGCACGACGTGACACGATCAATTGATACGAGACGATGCTGTCTGTGGCTTGCATCATCAGCAGGAGTCCTGCATTAGCACGAGGTCTGTAGTCGTCATTCTTCCTCCATCTCCAATTCCAATCCTCGTTGCCTTCTTCAATTTCTCCGGGGGTTGCCAATCACGACAGACTAGTGTTATCGCCGCCAGATTTTCCCCTGTAGCTTTTTGCGGACATCGCACATCGATTCTCTCCTCCTCCTTCGTAATTATCCCTGCTCCTGTACGTACCTCAGGTTCTACTAGTAACATTGAATGTTTCCGCTTTCTCATCTCACAGCCTCACAATGCAAAAGATCAATGCGGCTAGACACCAACGGCTAACGGGTGGAGATCGTTTGTTTCTTCAGGCTTCGATCTCTTGCTTTTTGGAAATTCTGGAAGGGTTACAGTAGGCCAGGACAAGCCAGGCCAGAAAGAGAGACCGTTGAAACAATTTACGATTTGCTTCGCCCGGCAGTCCAAAATAACGGCGATCATGCGCAGAGAATAAAACAGAAAACCCACTTCGGACCCAATCCAAAGGGAAAAAATGATCAACCCCGATCCTGGAGGCAAACCACCGGGGTTGAAAAGGGAGGGTCACATCGAGACTGTGACCCCGGACATTGGAGCTTTCAATCCCTTAACAGGACCGTCAGCTCAAAAGCCTCATCCCGCCCTTCGCCACACTCAGACTCCAGAAAAATTACAATCAAAATTACAATCGATAGTACACGACTGCCGAGCACAGAAAGAAGTCATCACTTTGTGCTACCCAGGGCTAAGATTGTCAAATTATCCGCATCAATAGCTACCAAGCCCGGTTATGCTTACGCAGAAGCTTTCTTTTCCCTTCCTCAAGGGTTTCATCGTGCCCAGTAAGGCAGATTATCATCGAGAGGACTCCAGTGTGGCACATCAACCGCAACAAATCGCAATGCAGGAACCGCTTACAATCCCTCTGTCCCTCCGTGGCAGCAACTGCCTCTCAGCCTCTGCTTCCTGTAAGATTCAAGTTTAAGCCTCTGGGAGGAAGCCAAAACAAACATCAATCTCTCGACGAAAGCAAAAATGCGACAAGTCGAATTCAATTGTAATTCTCCTTTTGCAGCCCCCAACGTTCGCCACAAAGCTCCACGTAATTCCCCCTCCCTGCTACGCCCTCTCATACCCTACGCCCTAACAGAGCGCACAGTACAGCGCCCCAGCCTTGCCAATGACAAGGAAATACGTTGTCAGCTAGGTGGAGTTTGCCACCCGTCAAGCAGCTGCCCTGCAAGTTGCAGACGCCCTGCAGCAGCATGCAGCAAGCTAGTTTGCTTCCTTGCCCTTTTCCGCTTGTCCCTCGCCAGTATTGATTGAGCTTTACTGGTTCCACCCATTGGAGCTTGTACATTTCGACCTGCCACATCCAAGCGGACACTTACACCTACCAACGCCCGCTTCCTTCGGCTTCAGCCGATATTCCCTATTTTCTACTACACCTCGATGCTCCTCTCACACTACTTACATATCTTCAACGGCCGCTCCTTGTGTATGAGGGAAAACGTCTCTGCTCGGCCAATCCGGTCTTGTAAGCCACAAGCTCTGTGACAAGGTTCTCACACACATATACGCGTCGTCGTTTACAACTCCTTCACGATGGAAGGAACTAGTATGCGTATGCCCTCGCGCCTCTATTCACCTAGCCTCCTTAACTCGCATGTCCCTCTGTCCACGTATACCCAATCCAATCATTGTTGCTCCCCATCACATTGGCCTGTCAGATTCTATATGCTGCGGGAAGGATCAAGAGGCTACCAAAGTCTTCACCCCCCTGGCCCTGGGAGTCAGAGTCGCAGCTTATCATTGAATCCTGCTGGCGATCTAAACTTCTCATCCGGGGTGTGTCTGTCGCCCCATCAGAGGCATCCCATTGCGAACAAGTTTCCTCGCCCACCGCCTTTCCTCCCATATCACTGTGCCCTCAGAGGACACCTTCACCCCACGCCCCTCCTACCTCTCCCATCTCCAACTCACTTTCCATCCTTGGTACCCGGGAGACGAGGAATAAAAAGAGACAAGTCACAGGAACCTACCATTATAGGGTCCCATATCCAACCCCGTGACTCCTCAACGCATGGGTGTCCTCTCGCCAAAGAAATCCTCCCCATACTTTGCCTGTGTGATAGACACAGAAGGTTGCCATGGGGCCTTTTGAACTCAGGCAGCAGGGCCAAACTAGCGGCCGCCAGGGTCTTGCTTGCTCGGCCCGCCAACGTCTTCTTCGTTCTGTTCTGCCAAGTGGACCTTTCTGTTTCTTCGGTCTTCTTTCCCTAGGCTCACTCCCCTTCTCCGCCCTATTCTTCCGTATCTCATATCTCATCCTAAGCTCCTGGGCCAGACACTCCAGAGAAACAAGAAGGGTGTTAGTCAGGGTTCCTAACAGCCCTTCCCTCCCTTGGTCTCTCCTAGCCGGACACGCCCCTCCCCCTCGACACGCCCCCATCTCCCCCATCGTCTCCTCCTCTAACACAAACTAGGCATCAAAGCTCCAGAGCTGCTCCTACTGACTGACGTGAGCATCACCCATTCTCAAGAAACACATCGGGACACCCGAGTCTCCTGCCAAACGGCCGTGTCCCTTCTGCCCGTGCCCGCTCACATTCTCCCGCCCTCATCAGGCACCAGGCAAACAAGTCACCTTCTCCAATCCCTTCCGTCCTTCAACACTGCCAACTGCCACCTATGACTCCTCTCGTCTCCTCCTCCACCCCCCCCCCACGAGGCCTCAAAATGACGGATTCCAGGCTAAGACGTATCTTCTCGTTCCATCTTCGTACCTTCGTGAACCTTCCTTTCTCTCTTCCCGTATAACATTCACATGAGTCGACTCGACGGCAACCCGAAGAACATATCAGAGGATACCACCCCGCTCCGGTCTTTCATTATATTATCCCATTAGTATACTATGCCATATGCGTGCGTACTTCATACTCGGTCGTTCATGGAACACACTCCCCCTCCCTCTCCCCCTAACCACTTGCCTACCTCGGCCATATACCTTTACCTCTTCGGAGACCCCAGAGTCCCCCCGGGTTAAAAAAAAAGGGTTGAGCAGAGGAATATGGGCGCCTGTTAGAACCTCGACACCTCATCACCCCACCCTTCGTCTTGGCCTTGATGTTCCCTTCCTTCCTTTTCCTTCTCTTTGCAGATACATCGATAGGATGGATGAATGATGAGTGTGATCGTGTATATCCCCATTAGCCGAGGGATCTCCAGGGAGGTTCATAGTAGTACCTCCCAACGTCCCAACGGCAGGGCGCGCGAACTAAGCACCTTAGGACATCCAAAGTGTAAAAAAGGCGGCCCGGCAGGCAAACCCCATACTCCCACTCCCCTCCCCGATAAAAAAGAAACTTGTAGCAATCCCATGATCCTCGTACAAGACTGTATATCCCTCACGTCCCTCATGCTGCATTAAACACGCTACATGCACATTAACAGAAACACCAGGCCCCATCCACCCCATCCCCAAGTCTCGTTAAAAGAAAAGAGATGCAAGGAAAAAAAAAAAGTCCACCTACAACGATAACACACACCCCCTTTACACCTCCTCGCCCGCCACAGCTTCATACCCGCCCCTCCTCCTCCTCCCCACCTCCATCATCCTCGGACTCTCATACATCTCCGAATAATTCACCACCTCGCCACCCAGACATGCCTGCCCGCTCCTCCTCTCCCCGAAAACCGGAGCGGGATCGCACAGGAAATCCTTGCAATTCGTCACGCACCCCTTCGAGTAAGGGTTCTTCCTCCTGCGCCTGTCCTTGCCGCTGCCCGTCGCCGCGCCGCGCCCTCGCACGGTTTCGATGAAGGGGTCCACGCCTAGGATGCGGGCCCAGTTCTTGATGAAGCCGCCGCCGTGGCGTTTTCGGTGGTGGTGGCCGTGGGGGCCGGCTTCCGTGGCGGAGTGCGCTGGGTGGTTGGGGTCGAGGGGCGTTCCGGTCGAGGTGAAGGCCATGGTGATGTCGGCGTCTTGGATGCCGAACATGTTCTCGTAGGTTGTCATAGCGCGCGAGATTTGGATGACTTGGACGAAGAGGAGCATCGAGACCCAGGTGAGTTGGAGGGTCGCCCAGATGGCGAGGATGAGGGTATAGGCGTCGGCGTTGATGACCTTGCAGAGGCTGGCGCCGAGGAGATTGCAAGAGTCGGATGCCTTGGGGGTTAGGGCAGAGAAGTCTGAAGCAAGTGTCAGTTTTGAAGTGGGATCATCAGTTGTAAAAACGCTTACAGTAGTACAGGATCCAATCATAAAACAAGATGCCGCCTGTAAGACCAACAACATAAAAGAAGAAATTCCTATGATTGTTGACGCCAACACAGTTATATACCCAAGGGCAATGACTACCCTTACTGTTAGCCATCTATCCCAACAACTCTACCTGAGTGGAGGGAGTAAAACTCACTGATCATGCTTGGCAACACATCTCTGACATCTCTTGCAATGCTTGCTCCTCAAAGGTGTGCGAATCATACACGTCACACAAAAGTTGGAATCATCATACTTCCACTCCTTGAGCAGCTCATCGATAACAGCCTTTTGCTCAGCGATGCCCTTCATCTTGGGCACAAAACCAGGGTCGTAGACCATGCAGGTCATGTAGAAGTAGGCGACAAATAGGTAGCAGGATAAGAACGCGAGATTGAGGATCCAATGTGTCTCGGTGGCTAGGCGCAGGCATTAGCAAGAAGGGGAATGGAATCGAGGAAAAGAGGGAGATGCAAAGGCATACCCGATGAAAAGGTGGTTGCCCCAAACACTGGGTACAACCAGTTCAACCCGATCAAGAAGAGCGATCCGGCGAAGATACCCGCTAACCATGGCTAGAAGAAAAGAAAGACATCAACATTTTTTTGCACTCAACGAGAACTCGGAATCCCATCCCACTCTACCAGAAAAAAAAAACTTACCGTCCTCTGATAATGTCGCATATCTGAAGGCGCATGCTCCAGAACCTGGTTCGCACACCACATCAACCCATACCCAACCGCAAGGGCGATAGGCACACCCGCAAATATCGGCATATGCGCTAAAATGCTAATCACAGCCCAGATAAGAATCGTGGGAAAGACGAACAGGAACTTGTTCACGAAACCCCTCCTATCCTTAAGAAAGTACGACGCCCACGGCCAAGGAGGGATGATGGCATGTCCATCACTGTCATATCCGCACTCCCTAAGGGCGCGGTGCCACTGAGCGGTCGTGTTCAGCTCCTGCGCCGTAACGGCGGGCGTCTTCCCCGTTTCCGTTTTCGCGAAGCGATCGGACCCGTACTCGATAAGCTTAAGAATGCAAGCAGCCGACCCCTTGACGAGAGCCCAATGCAGCGCCGTGAACCCTTGCTCATCAACAGCATCGACGCTAGCGCCCCAGCGGAGGAAGACGTCGACGCACTGCGGGAAGCCCTTGTAGGCGGACCACATGAGCCCCGTGTGGCCGTAGCTGTCGGCGACGTCGACGGGGATACCCTGGTGGAGCAGGAGCACGAGCAGGAGGACGTTGCCGTTGAAGGTGGCGATGTGGAGGGTGTTGTAGCCTTGCGAGTCGGTGATGAGAGGGTCTGCGCCGTGCTGGAGGAGGAAGTTGACGACGTAGTAGTGGCAGCGCTGGGCGGCCCATTGGAGGGGTGTCGCGACGGAGTCGCCGCCCTTTTTGTTGACTTCGGCGCCATGCTCGACGAGGAACTTGCACATGGCGTATTGGTTGTTTATCGCCGCCCACTGCCCAGATCGAATGGAGGTTAGCGAATGTGAAAATTAGGAGCGCCAGGCGCAAAGACGGATCATCCCCCCCATCCAATACTCACATGTAACGGCGTGATGCCTTCCTCGTCTGTGTACGTAGCATCATACTCTCCCGACTCGAAGAGCTTCTCCATGCCGGCGACGTCGCCAATCCTCGCAATCTGCATTATGTCGTTCTCGACAGGAGCGGGCGCCGCGCCGAGGGCTTCCGCGGCCGGGGTCGCATCGTTGGTGAGTTCGCCTAGCTCCATTTCGCTGTTGATTATCGGAGCGGCGGCAGAGGATTTGGTGGAGAGGTGGATGGGGAGGTGAGGGTGGTCGTCGGCGTTGGAGGAGTTAGTTCTCGAGACCTTCCTATCCATGTGCCGAGAGAAGTTCGAGGCAATAACGAAGGTCAAGGTGAAGGGTCAAGACATTCACCGGGAGAGAGAGAGAGGGTTCGTTGTTGTCGTGGGTTTTCGTTCGACGTCCGTTTCGTTTCGACTCGAAAAGGGGTTGGAAGCGGACGAGAGCAAAGAGATTCACTCGGGTTGGATCGCACCTCCCAACAATTTTTCCTGTCCACCGTCGCAAAGAGGGATGTGACGGGCGCGGGCGGACTGCTCGGTCAACTCGTAGCGTCGCTTCGGGAGGGTTTCATGAATTGGACGGGGAGCTCCCGAAGAAGGAACCGCGTAGGAGAAGGCGTGGTACGCACTACTTCGGCAAGGTCGTCGTTGGTGGCGGTACTTCGTTCAATTCAATGCGCCAGCTGCGAAAAAGACGGAGCGTCGGGACTCGAGATTAAGAATCGTCGAGGAACAATAAGAACAATCCCAAATTGGGGATGTGCTAAAAAAGAGAGAAAAGTCCGAACAAAAAGGAAGAAAAAGAAAAATAAAATATCAGAGAAAAAAAGAAAGGAGAAACAGAAAAGGCAGTCGTGGATCCAGGGTCTCAGGATGGAGACGACGAATCTGGGTCGCAGTTGGAGGCAGCTGAGGCTGACGAAACGGGAGGTGCCGTCAAAGTCTCTTCTCAGTGGAATCTGCGTAATCTTGGGGTGTAATTCCACCGCCGCAGTGCTCTGCACCGTAAGATTCGTACTTCGTAGTGGAGCTTGGGACTTCGCTAGGACGCGCAATTCTAAGTGGACTGGGGCACTTGGCTTGGCAACGTCTTGGCCGGCTGTTCCGGCTTCAGGAAATGGGCACGAAAAATAGATTTTACAAAAGGGTTTCGTGACTCTCGACCCAGGAAGATGTTAGTTCCAATCGTTTGAGATTACAATATAAGAGTGCCGGTGTAGTACAATAATTGCGCAGTTGGTAGATAGATCGTAGAAGAAAAGGAAGGGACCCAGTCGCCATTGCTTCACCAGCAGTTTACATCGTCTTCGAAAGGATGCGGAATCCTGTTAGATGCAGCCGCGTTCCTAGACAATTTTATGATGAAGGTCGACATCGTGCAGCACTGCAGGGGGAGGTAACCAACGATGGATTTGATCACCACAGGTCTTAATTTCTCGTGGATCCTCACTGACGAGCTCGGATTATTTTTCTTCTCACTTTTCTGGGGTCCCTTGCCACGTCCGACCTCGTCGTGACCACGCGACAGTTGCCAAGATCGCAGCCTTACCAGAGTTGACCCTTTTTTGACAGTTTTTGATAAACCCGTCTTCCTGCCGTTTGAGAATGACCGAAATCTATAGACGGCAGTACTTCGTAATGCGAGTGCCGATTCTAATGGCGATGGACAGTCGAATTTCAGCCCTACAGAGACTTATTGTTGCGCTGAAGAATTGATGTGACTTGCTGCCGACAAAGCGACTCGAACACCAGCCACCAGGACGCCACAAGAAACGCATTGGTAAGCCTCATCAGGCCGAAGATAATCTTAGGTTTGCACGTGACCGTCAACAGGCATCACATCTGGATCAGGGTCCTGAAACTTCGTACGACTTCCACAGGCAGAGCTCCGAAAGCCGGGACGACGCTAAAACGGTGTCCACTTGGAGGATCAACTCCATCAAGAGCTTCATCTTGCAACACAACCCCCTTTTATCAAATACTCGCCATCGCCGACACCAGCGCCGCCATCTCCCTCTTTTCCTTTCCCCTCTCCCTTCCTCCGCAGGGAGAGCGAAAACCAATTCCTCTCCAACAAACAGGGCCGACCGCAACCATGGACTCCTTCAAGGAAACCTTCCTAACCTATCTCGAATTCATCCTCACCCCGTCCCCCACAGTCTTCATAGTCGGCACCCTCATCCTCATCCTCTCCCCCATCATCTTCCACTACCTCCTCGTCCACTCCTCCCCCTACACCTCCCCACCCACCGTCCTCCTCCTCGGTCCCCCCAACTCTGGCAAAACCTCCCTCATCACCCGTCTCGAGCGCGGCACCTCCTCAACCACGCCGCCGCCGCAAACCCACACGTCGCAAACCGCCCACTCCGTCGAATTCTCCGCGCCCCACGGCAACGCCAGCCTCGTCGAAAAAGACGAATCCTCCCCGGGAGGCGTGCACACCAAGTTCCTCCTAATCGACACCCCCGGCCACGGCAAGCTCCGCCAGAACAACCTCGCGCGCCTAACACCCACCGCCATATCCGAAGCCAAAACCAAAGCCGTCGTTTTCGTAGTCGACGCCTCCTCCCTCGCTGAGCAGGACGTCCTCTCCTCCACCGCTTCCTATCTCTACGACGTGCTCCTGCTCCTACAGAAGCGCACGGCGGGCATCAAGACTTCGAAGATCCCCTCGGCCGTGCCCGTGCTTGTTGCTGCGAATAAGTTGGATCTGTTTACGGCGTTGCCGGCGGCGTTGGTGAAGGCGAATTTGGAGGCGGAGATTTCGAGGGTGCGCGTTTCTAGGAGTAAAGGGTTGTTGGATTCCGGTGTGGGCATTGATGAGGTTGGGTCGGAGGAGAATGATGATTGGTTGGGGTCGTATGGGACGGAGAAGTTTACTTTCGATCAGATGAGGGAGTTTAATGTCTATGTTGATGTTGTTGGGGGGAATGTGTGCGGTGAGGGACCTGGTGTTGGGAAGTGGTGGAAGTGGATCACGAACCAGATATAGGAGGAGAGCTTATTTGATTTGGGTTGGTTGGGAGTTTGAGCAGTTTCCATTTGGAAAAGCGAATGCGATACTACACTATTACAACGCATTCGGCGGCAGTCACCTCAAAACTGCGGGTCAGTGACCATGTCATCTCAACAAGAAAAAAGGTTCGGTTTCCGGCGGAGCATTATAATTGTTTCCATCTACGGGATTACTCCAATTATCTACTATCCATCCTTAATGCATCCCATCCTTTACAAGATTTTGTTCCCTCCCTCCCTAGGCCATCTTCTTTTGCTCTGAGCAACAATATAAAACGCCGACTCCCTGTCAATGTTGTTGTTGAAACGGACTGGAAACCAACCCAAGCAAGCGCGCCCCCAATATGTTCTGTTCTTCCCTTGCTTTACGCCTTCTGCTGCACCATCCAAGTCAAAAGATCCACCTTCGTCACCACAGCCACAGGCTTAAACTTGGCCTCCTCACCGGGCGTCCTCTCAGTCACAACGCCAGCACTGTTCCACTCCAAGAACTTGCTAAGCGTCTTAAGTGGCGTATCGACAGTAATCTCAACATACTTCCTATGCTTGCCATGGCCGGCCTCCTGGGAAGGCAGATCACGCGGGTCGGTAACGACCTCGTCGAGGCGGCTGAAGTCGAACATGACATCGCTGACGGGGCTCTGCGGCGTGGCGCGGCCGCGGGAGATGTAGCTGAGTAGGTTACCGAGGGTGACGAGGCCGACGAGCTTGCTTCCGGGGCCGAGGACGGGGAGCTGGTCGAAACCCTTGTCGCGCATGGTCTCGATGGCTTCGGAGCAGGGGCTGGCGGCGGCGATGGAGGTGACGGGCTTGAGGCGGAGAGCCTTGATTGTGGCGCCACCGTAGGGATCGTCGGAGGTAGGGACGCCTGCTGGCTTGCCGGCGGCCTTCTCCTTGTCGTCCACCGAGGGGGCGAGGAGGTTGTTCGCCGCGAGCCAGTCGTCGTCGGCGAATTTGGAGAGGTAGTTGCGGATGCTGTCTGGGAGAATGACGACGACGACGTCGCCCTTGCCGAAGCCGTAGTCCCTGACGGCTTGGATCATGGCGGCCATGGCAGAGCCGGAGCTACCGCCAACTAGGAGACCCTCTTCGGCGATGAGGCGCCTGGCGAGCTGGAAGGACTCGCGGTCCTCAGTCTTGTACCACTTGTCGACAATCTGCTGGTCGAGAACGTCGGGGATGAAATCGTAACCGATGCCCTCCACCTTGTAAGGCTCATCGCGGTGCTCCTCATTCAAGCTCGCAGGAAGCGCAAGGATACTTCCCTGAGGATCAGCAGAAATAACCTTGACATCCTTGTTATGCTTCTTCAAGCCCCTAGCCAAACCGGTAATGGTACCACCAGTCCCCGCGCCGGCGACGATGGCGGAGATCTTGCCTCCCGTCTGCTCCCAGATCTCCTCGGCGGTGCCGAACTCGTGGGCCAGCGGGTTGTTGGGGTTCGTGTACTGGTCGAGGATGTGGGCGTTGGGGATCTCCTTCTGGAGGCGGCGGGCGACGCCGATGTGGGATTCGGGGGCGTCCCAGGCGGCCTGGGTCGGGGTGCGGATGATGGTGGCGCCGAGGGCGCGGAGGACGGCGACTTTTTCGGCGGACATTTTTTCGGGGAGGGTGATGATTGTTTTGTAGCCTTTGATGGCGCCGACGAGGGCGATGCCGATGCCGCTGGGAGGAGGTTAGTGTTGGAGGAGGGAACACAAATCGCTATTGCTACAATCGACGGAAAGGGGGTGAATAAAAGAAATTGGAAAATCAAGAATAACAAAAAAAAAAAAAAAAAAAAAAAAAAAAAAAAAGAGGGAAAAGAAGGATCGGTCTCACTCTCCCCAAGTCACTAAGAAGGCATCGCAGACATGGTGCAGAACTTTGTCTTCAAAAACTTACGTGTTTCCACTGGTCGGCTCAATCAAGGTATCACCAGGCTTGATCCTCCCACTCTTCTCGGCCTCCTCGACCATGCGCAGGGCTATCCGGTCCTTGACACTCCCGCCGGCGTTGAACAGCTCGACCTTGGCGTAGATATCGGCCTCGATGCCCAGCGACTGGGGTATCCTGTTGAGCTTGACGAGCGGGGTGTTGCCAATGAGCTCCGAGACCGAAGCCACGACGGCGGGGCTCGGCTTCTTGGACAGCACCTGTTCTCCCATTGTTACTGTTGGTTTTGGGATTATTGTTTTTTCGTTGATGGTTGGAAGGGGAGAGGGAGAGGTTGTTCGGAGCTGGCTGGCTTGAGCAAAAACTTTTTGGTGGAAGGCGGGGTTTAATACGATGGAGGGGCAAGACAACAAGACAATGGAGGGGCAGCAAAAGGCTTTGCTCGGCTTTGCGACAGTGAAGAACGTCAATTAAGTATATCCACGAAAGACTTGACGGGTATCAATATCAATGTCAATCTGGTGAAGTAAGAGTAGAGAGGGAAGTGCCGAAGGGGGAGTATTCGGCTACTTATGTATTCAATATTCCTAGTCGCCTCGTAAGATTCGAGTGATCATCCCGCCAACCTCTTTGCCCACGACACTACTCGAACTACACTTGTCCTCAACCCTCCAGAGTCCAGGTTGCCCCCCCGTTTGCCCAGCTTGGGTCTGGCGTGGTTCGGACAAGGACCCCCACAACGCTAAATTGAATGTTGAATAATTGATGTCTGCTCACCAACAGATGGAAAATGTGTCTGTCCAAATTTGATCAATCCAGTTCCGCAGAGAAATCTGTCCCCAGCGTCCGTTTTTCCTCAATATCCTGGTTCTCGCCATTGTCCGTTATTAACGTCCGACCGACGGCTACCCTCGGCGGTTCTTTACGTCATAGCATCTGGCGGCAGTTGTGGTTCAATCGTTGCAGATCGACCCAAGACCAAGACCGTGTCTTTGGTTACAGGTTAATGCCCCAAATTCACCAGAAACTAACAAGTCCGTGAATTCTTGAGGCGCGAGTCTGCGAATCTCGACATCAACTGATCGATTGATCATGCTCGGCTTCAAGCACGTCATCCACCCACCCAATGTTGATGCTCTGGAGAATGCTCACGTATAGGTAGATAGTATGGTCTGGGGCGAAGAAACTGAAATCAAGCTTAATTGCGTGAGATATTAGCTGCGAACCTCGAGGTTGGACAATCCAGTGGTGAGACTAAATTCCTTTGCAAGTTTTGGGAGTCGTTGGATTATACTTCGTAGAGGAAATTGTCTTGCAAGGTTGATCAACCTTGATGTCTATATATGATTAATTGCTCCAAAAGCCCACTTTCCGCTATTGGCAGCAAGACATCAATTGATCCATAATTAAACTCCGGTTCGACCCGTCGTTAGTCTGGCTGCCCATACTAGGGACCACTTCGTAGGTGCGACAAGGGACAGACCTTCACGTTTTCCCAACTTCCCGTTTCAAGGTAGCAAACAGACGCTCAGAATTCGTTGATCCCAGGCAGGTGCCGCGTCTCACGGCTAGTTTGGAAATGAGCACTGGGACCGACCACCAATTCCAGCATCAACCCAACTTCTAGGGTCGTCTGCCTCCGCTACATGAACTTGGGCTCTTTCAATCCTCAATACCGCCGATCCCCGCCGATCGAGTTCTCTACCATGTTTTGCCTGGCCAATAAATTAAGCGACGTAGTCGGGTCTCTTCGTGGGCCGAGTCGCCAGCTACGAAAAACGACCCAACGGGTACCATAGCCAGACAGGCTATCACCGCTACGCCAAGAGGACTACCTGCCAGGACATGAAGGTTGGAGACCTTGAGTCAACTGACGCTGTAGCCTCCAGGAGTGAGAGTGGGAGCTGGCCGCGATGCTCGAGAACGACTGCGACATCCGACAAGGCAACACCAGTCAACATAGTGGCTGTAGAAAGTGGCCCCATGGGCGCCCGTCACGCCTTCTGTGTTTTGCAACTTTATTGTGGCTTCATTCAGACTCTGTTACCGGTCTCTTCGTCTTATTACAAGATGTAATATGGCGCTGTAACGTATGCCCATCGTTCATCTATTGCCGTGTGATTCATGTAGTATAAATGCTGATGATTGACCAGAACGCCTTGCATTCTCTCGGACCCATTCAACTCTGCAAGCTTTTATTCAGTCATTCATCATTTCCGCAGAACTGTCCAAGACTGTATCGCCATCATGTCACCCGTCATGCGTTCTAGCCTGGATACTTTCATTCCTAATTTCGACCTATCTCACGCTAAATCCCAACCATGGCCAAGAGCAAGGATCCGAAGGAGAGCAAGACGGACAGGTTGAACAACCTTGACCGAGATATCAGAGAGCTACGCGAGCAACTCGCAGAATGCGACAGGCGCATCGAAGAACTCAACGTTCAGTACGAGAAGCAGTCGAATAGTCGATCGATCTTTGCGAAATCGACCGGCAAAACGCTCTCGGAAATCTACGACGAGCAAGCGGCTATCAGTGCCAAGCTGAGGCAGAAGGAGGTCCTCTTCGAGGCTGTTATGGGCGAGGTCGAGTCGAGCAGCAGCGACGAGAGCCGGAGGTCTCATGACTCTGGTTTCAGCTGGAACAGCGGATCATCCAAATCAAGCGATCCTGCAACCGTCGGCTGGTATTGCGGCAACTGTGGCAGGCTCAACTACACCATCTTTGACGGACCGGACAACTGGTGCGGTTGCGGTCACCAATATTGCGAGGCCCCGATCCCAATCCAAGTTTCGAATGGTGTCGATCGTGACGGCATTGAGACTTTCCAGGAAATAACCGTCTGGCACTGTACAGCCCAGTGGGACCCAGCTCCGGAGTGACGAGCAACGCGCAAAAACGACTCAAGGCGGGCTCATGGACTATAGAGGCAGGCGTTAGGTTGCCGTTTGGTTTTGCAAACTCTAGGGTCGGGCTTGGATTCTGCTTTGTGCTCAAAGCTCCACAGTCAGAAAGCCGCATCACTTGTTCCACATCAATTATCTTGTTTTTTTGCGTTTCGGTTTTTCTGTTTTCCTCTTTGCACATGTGAAGTCGCTCACTGGTCGAGCTTGTCTGGGACATTGGAATGTTACAATATCTTGATTGATGTGATCTCGGCTTACACATGTGAATATCTCAGCTGTACCTTTGGAATGGAAGGCGCATTGGAAGGTGCACTGCTGCCCATATCGTGTCACCCCCATTGCCTCAAGTCAATAGCGCTCTTGCTCCAAGCCAAAAGATTAAGAACAAACTTCGAACTAACCTTTCTTTGCAAGCATCTTCCCAGCCAGCCGCACTTTCCATTATTCTCTCCCACAGACACCCACAGATACACCTTTTCTCCTAATCAAGCAACCGCAAACACTCCCGTCATCTCCATTCGGAAGCTTCCGCCTTCACTATCCGCCTTGCGTTCGGCGCAAGACGTCGCATCAGAATTGGCGTACCTCACCGGGCGGCTTAATGAGACCGACGTATACGCACCAGAAGCAGTACCGGTTCAATACAATGTAGAAGGAGATCCAGAGAGTGGCCTTGTAGTCCTCCCAAAGAGCGCACAGATTGCGAATTTGGGGAGGAAATACAGAAAAGTCAAGGCGGAACTTGACGAGGTGAAGGCGAAGGCGATGGCGGAGGTGAAGGCTGCCGAAGCAACAGTGGCAGATACTGCGATCGAGGAGATGACTAAATCTGAAGAGACCCTGCAGACGACTAACCAAGAGGAGATTCCAGAGACAACCAAAACCGAGGAGACCTTGGAGTCAACCAACCTCTCGGATACCCTAGGGACGACCACAACCGGGGAGACACCAGAGACAACGACACCCAAGGAGACCCTGGAGAAGGCCAACCTCAAGGAAACCTTAGAGACAACCGCAACCGAAGAGACCCCAGAAACAACCGCTACCAATGTGGCCCTGGAGACAACCGCCCTGCAGATCACGGCTGGGGCCTTACCGACGAAAGCGCGGAAAGTTGCGTTTCAAGAGCCCTCTGACGACGGTAACCCGATCTCTTGATCCACACAGGGTTGACAAACTTCCTTTTATTGCAATACGCCCCAATCCGGCTGCATCCCTGTTGACCCAGTGGGGATACCATTTCATACATACATTGTTTAGTCTTACTCTTACAGATTGCTAGCAGATCTGCTGGCTAAGGCCACAGATAGAAACATACCACTCCACCGAGGGCAGATGACTGCCAGAGCAGAGCACACTGCCATTGCGGCTAGCATCACCAAACTAGAGGTCATTGATTGTTCAGCAGCACAACACAGATGTGGACATGGCAGTCTGTCCCCTGGCTGGAGCTGGGGCACATAACCTAACTGCAGAGGAATATTAAAGAAGTGGTAGTGGGAGAGAAGAGATATAGAACTCAACATATCCACAACAAGTATCTTAACTCTAAGAGATGAAAAATATGCCTTGGAATTGCTCTTCAATGTTGGTTCTGAGAAGCTTCTGCAATCCTGAGGAAAGGAAGGTGCATTCTTGCCTACGTGATGCCATCAGCCTCCACTGCCTCAAACCAACAACACAATTGCACAACTGCACTCTTGCTCCAGGTCAAAGAATCGATTGTAGCTTGGTCAATTGATATTTCAATTACTGAAACTAAAAAACATCAACAAACCTCGAGCTGCCTTTTACTTACCCAGCTTCACAACATCATCTCTACCATCCACACATTCCATTTTTCTCCATCACAATCACCCATAAACACCTACCAACATCCACAGATACACCTTCTCTCCTCATCAAGGAACCTCAAATATTCCATCTCCATCTAGAACTCTCCATCTTGGTGTTCCAAATCACCCACCATGCGTTCACCACAAGAAATCGCAGCAGAGTTGGCATACCTTGTTGGACAGCTTTACGAGGTTGATGTCTCCACACCAGACACAGTACCATGCAAATACAAGGTGGAGGGGGATCCAGAGAGTTGTCTTCTAATCCTTCCAAGGAGCTCACAGATGGTCCAGTTGTGGGGGAAGTACAAACAGGTCAGGGCGGAATTTCTCGAGGCGAAGGTCAGGGCCAGAGCGAAGGCCTTGGAGGCAACAACGTCAGTCACCACGACCGAGGAGACGCTGCAGACGCTGGAGGCAACCTCACCCGAGGGCGCCTCAGACATAGCCACGGCTAGGGTCTCGCAGACAAAAGCTCGGAAAGTCAGGTTCAAAGAGCCCTCCGACCGGCGACGACGGTATGTAAATCCACTTTTGAAATGCCTTGTACCATAATGTGGGGATCTCGCTAAGACGTCGACATAGGTCAAACAAATCAAACAAACGTCGGGGCGGTGGACCTCCTAGCCAGATCAGCTGGGTCTTAGTCCACTGTCCTAGAACCCTGGAAGTCTAGGAACCTGGAACAGTTCCTCGTGGAGTTTTACAATACTAAGGACGAGGCAATGCGAGTTTACAAAGTGTGGGAGTGGGACGCTGGACAGACGCTGGACAGACGGTACCGCTACACTGGAGTATTCAGTGCTCCTTTTTAGAGAATAGGAATAGCCGCAGGTGCGACCGTCTTGGAAGATCTCGCAGTCTTCTGAGAAACCGACAGACAATCCTACCCCGTTCCCTTACCATATCTGGAACCGGTAACTCGTGCAGTCGAGAAGACCACACTTCATCGTTAACTACTACAATCATTCAATTATCCCTCCAACAGCTCACACAAAATAACATGAAATGGCTGCATGGCACACATCCTGGTCAAGGACCAGGTCCCATTGTCTCTCCCACAATCCCATCCTCGTCAGCCCATCTCCACAACCTCTTCGTCCCATATTTCTCACCGTTAGAACAAGTGTCGTAGCAAATTCCCGAATCCTCGAATGCATCCTCCTTCTGCGATATGAACTAACCCAGCATGAGCAGCCACTTACATCCCCTGCGAGGCGAGACGCGTCGGTCATCGGCAGCCAAAACGTTGAAAGTTTAATAATCGTTACTCGATTTAATAATCATCTATCTAGAGAAATCCAGGGTCGCGGAGGTCAATTGATCTCTCTTCCGAGGGGGTCGTTCAGTATTTCGTAAAGCGCATTACTCTCACCTCAGAAACCCCACGGAGTTTGCCCCTTTGTTTTCGTGCGTTGGTCTTGCGTCGGACTTTTATTGCGTGGTGCAAAAAAAAAAAAGCTGTTTAATAAACGTAAACACGCGTTGCCCAGATTCGAAGTCAAAATACTTCTTTTTTCTTTCCGAAGACGTCCTGATTCTGGATTTGGCACTGCAGCAAAGTACATATCGATGCGACGCCGCCTTCCTCGGGAGGCATCTCCGTTCCGCGGATGCAGCTTTAGCAGCATTTCTCGAGGCGTGGATACCCGCGTGGATACCCACGTTGGCTAAGAATATATACGAAACTGGCTAGTCGTCGAACCCTCCCCATTCCTCATCGTCTTCATCCTCGTCCTCGTCCTCGCCCACACTCCCCTCCTCGGAGTCATCCGAACTCACATCTTCCTCCTCCTCCTCCGCATCGACCTGCCCATCCCGGCCATCTTCCCCATCCTCCTCAGGAACAACCGACATAAACTCCCCTGTAGCCTTCAACAGCGGCATCCCCAACGCATCCCTCACAATCATCCCTTCCTCATCCCTCACAAACGGCTCCTCCTCCTCGTCCGCCTTCCCCCTTCCTTCCCCCTTCCGTCGCTCATCACCCTCCCTCACAAATCCCGCCACGAAAAAACCCATAACCCCCCTCCCATCCCCCTTATAACTCCGAATACAACTCTCCGCAACAACCTCATCCCCTCTGGCTGCCCCCACCTCCCCCCTCACCGGCCACTCCCTCATCCCCGAGACCTGCTCCTCACGCCTCAGAACCCTCCACCCTCTCCTCCTCGCGACCTCCGAGTTCAGCGCCGCCAGCACCACCTCCTCGTTCTCCTCCGCGTGGACGGAACATGTCGAGTACGTCACGCGCCGCGCCGCAGGGAACTCCAACGCGTGGAGCAGCAGATTCAGCTGGAACGTCGCGAGAGCCCGCAAGCGTGCCGCGAGCTCCTGCTCCGATCCCACCGCCACGGCGTTCCCGTCGTCGTCGAGAAGGACGGGACCGCCGTCTTTCACGCTCGACTCCGGTCCTCGCTTGCGCTTCTTGCCCTTATTGTCGTTGGCGCTCTTCTTCTTCACACCAGGGGGCAGCGGCGGTTCCGGCAAATGCAGCTCCGGCACAGAATCCCTCCCCACGATCCCGCTTCCCGAACAGCTAGGATCCAGCAACAGCCCCACCACATCTCGATACCTCTCCTCCCGCGGATCAACCTTGAGAAAATCCTGTCCCAGCGCGATCCGAACAATCCCCTTCCCACCGGCCCTATCTACCATCTTCGCCAACGTCTGCGCTCTATTCGCGTCCTTCTCGAACGCGTACACCTTCCTCGTGAGCTTCTCGTGCTCCGCTACGCGCGAATGCAGGATGGCCGCCAGATGCGTCGTCTTGTTCCCCGGTGCCGCGCACGCGTCGATGACGTCTCCGCCGTGGCCCGGGTCGGGGTCGAGCAGGTACGCGGGGAAACAGGAGGCTTTGTCCTGCAGGATCAGGGCGCCCGATTTGTAGGCTTCCGATTTCGTTAGGTCCACGCCGGGGGAGACGGCTAGGAGATTCGGTACGTGTTCGTCGATGTAGATGACTTTCTTCTCTGGCGCCGCCGCGACCCCCATCACGTCGGCGATGGAGAAGACTCTCTTGAAGGCCGAGAAGGTTGTCTCTAGCTGCGTGTCGAGATCCGATTTCAGGGCGTTGACCCGCACCCACCTGGGATACCCTTCGCCTTCGGTCCGAGTCTCCTCTGCGATGGCTGCTCGTAGTGCTTCTAGCGTGGGTTGTTTCCTCCGTATCCTTGCACGCGTGAACTCTGATGTTAGGCGGCCCTTGTGTCGCTCAATTGTAGAGCGTAGACCGTGAGATTGGGGGAGTGCTATGCCGTTCTTGGCGAGAAGGAAGTCGTGTACCAGTAGCAGCGCAAGTATAGGCGTGAGCTGTGCCGCCAAGTTAGATACTTGTGTAAATAGGTGTATCAACGCCTTCCAGAACGAGCCACAATGTCCATCATTCCATCCCCAAAAGGCTTTTAGGCAGCCCACGCGTGTCGCAGTCCAATCGCGTTCCAAGAATAAAAAGTACCACTCACCTTCCTCTCAAACTTCAAAATCTCACTCGCCTCAACAACCTCCTTCAACACCCCGCTCCACCTCGCACTCTCCATCGCGAGAGCATACACCTGCGTAGGTGGCGACTTGAGCCCCTTCTTTCCGAATACCCGCGTCCGGAGGCTTCCGCCGGAAGAGGTTTCCGAGAGGAGAATCTCGGCAGTCTCGTGGTAAAGCGACATCCCCTGCGCTTCTCTCCCTGATTGACTAGGGCTGTGGTCAAGATATTGTTGCCGTAGACAGATGGTGGGCAAAGGTGGTGAGTGACCTCGCCTCGTTTAGATCTCCCAATCTATGTACTGATGAGTTAAAAGAGCTTCATTCCGTATTTAGATTGATTGAGCCTGGGTGAATCGGTCGAGTATTCAAATGGGTTGCGATGAGGAGCTGAGAGGTGGAAAGGGAAAGTAAGTGGTGTAAAAGTGGTTGGTGGATGAAAATTCTCGACGCCATAAAAAATTCATGCTCTGAAGTCCCATCTCGTCCTCTCATTCTCAGTTCCAACACCGAAACACATTGGAGACAGCAACCCAACCCGTGAAAAGTTCAATACACTTTACGCGTAGCTCTGTTCACCATATTCTACAAGATACGCTTCCAGCCTTAAAAAACAGGAAAAAAAAAAAAAAAAAAAAAAAAGAGAGGGAGAAGCAGGATCGCCCTGATACATCAGTTACATGTTTCTAGATTCAGGTTCAAATGTGTTTTTTTTATTGCAGGATGCTTTCATCGCTATCCTCCTTCGAGTCCCATCCGAAACCCATATGTGCTATGGGATCTATTGATATAATTTCCGGTCGCTTGAGAAGGCCAAGACCGCACCTGATGCGAAAGGCAGGTTCTTGGGGTTTACCTTCATATTCTTTACCATTCTCGCGACACCCTCTCTGTAAACGTTGAAGGACTCATAAGCCGAAAACCAAGAGAAGGGAAAAGGTCAGCATCGCTGGCTGCTAATAGGAATCATAAGAGAAACTAGGTTAATTGGTACGAGAGAAACGAGGTAAATCGTACCGCCCCGCCGCCAGCCATACCCTCCCCCATCATCACAGTCAATGCAAACAACATACGTCTCGAGTCGAATCAACCACCCCCTCAGAGAATGCCCGTATACCTGAAGCAGCTCAGCAAACTGTGCAGCAGGCGCCATAGACTCATCCACCTCCACATTCCCTCCTTGATATCTTGATATCCTTGCCATTAGTCGTGTCAAGAACCACCTACGCCATGACCCGAATGAAAGAAAAGAAGAAAAAGAAAAGAAAAAAGAAATCATTTGCATTTCCCAAGTATTTTTTTATCTCATTCCATTCGCAAACTGATCCCGGAACCCTCCATTTACTGAGGGGGATCGTCCTCCTCGGGTTGGTCAAAGAGAAAGTTCGCCGCTAGCTCCTCGTTCTTATCACACGCAAAGTAGGCCTGAGCAGCCTCCTCGCGGCTGAATCCCAGCCGACACAACTGCGAAGAAACAGAATGTTAGCGCACAATCAGATCCCAAAAAAAAGGTCCGTAAAATCTGAACATACCCTCTCGATAGCATCCCGCTCCTCCTCCGTAACCGAAATGGCCTGAGCACCGGGGGGAAGAGGGGCATCGTCATCCCCATCTTCGCCGAGAAGACTGAGGAACTGTTCGGGGTTGCTGGCGATGAGCTGCGCTAGGGCAGGGTTACCGGCGCCGAGTTGCTCGAGAATGGGCTCCAACATCTGAGGTTGTTGCTGGACAACCTGGCGGAGTTGTTGGAATTGAGGGTTGTTTCGGAGGAAATCGAGGTTTCCGAACCCCTGCTGACCACCAGCAGCGGCCGCCGCGGGTGCTTCACTTCCTCGTGTGGTGGCGCCGCCCTGCTGGGCAGCAGCGAGATCGAAGAGGTTGACATTCCCTTCGTCACCGCCGGTAGCCGCTGGCACACCTTGAGGAGCGGCCGCGGGGGCTGCTGCTGGCTGGGCTCGTCGCTGGATGTTCTCAGGGATACCCTGCAGGAAGGCAGTATTGGTTAGCATGGCAACAAGAAAAATTGGATTAAACTGAATATGGCAGGGGATTCATTACATTAAGGAGGTACTCAACGGCTCGGTCTGGGTTGAAATAGGCCGCTCGCATGGCTGCCTCGACCTGGGATCGCTCGAATCCCATGGCCTCCATATTGGCTATGGCCACATCGCGCTCCGCGCCGACGGTTAGGGCAGAGGGATCGTTGAAGGCGGCGGAGGTCTCGCTGGTGGTAGGAGCGGCGGATCGGGCGGGGGTTGGGGTAGCAGGAGCGGCAGCTTGCGATGCGGCCTGGGCAGCTGGAGCAGCTGGGACAGCAGGTGTTGAAACGGCGGGTTGTGCGGGGGTGGCGGGGACGGCGGACGATGAAGCAGCTGGCGCAGGCTTGGGTTCCTTCGGCTGTAGTTGCATTGCCAGGTTAGCTGAGAGTTTCTTATCAAGGGCTAAAGAAAAGTGTTCCTGACGCCAGGAACGGATACGGTGCGCATTTACCTTGTTCACCATGCAGACGACGAAGCCCTTCTCCTCGATCTTGTATGACTCGACGGTCTCCTCATCCTTGAGGATTTTGCCTGGCACATAGTTAGGGATCCGAGGTCGAGCGTCGGCCGGATCTCAAGTGTGATTCTACTCACCAGAGTAGATCAGCTTTTGTTGTTTGGGCTCCCATCCCTTCTCCTCGCTGATCTTTTGCTTGACGGCGGAGATCTGGAGGGGTAAGCGAAGTTAGTTGATGCGACATCGATGCGGGGAAGTCACATATGCGCAGAATTCGGCCATCTCGTCGTCGACCCAAGTGCGGACCTCCTCTCCACCCGTGACGCATGGTCTCTGCGACTTCCATTTGGCGAGAGGTGACGGGCGGGGTGCGAGAGGAGCTTGGGCGCGACGAGAAGCGACGAAGGCGGCTGCTGGAGAACATCGGGGGATGATGGCATACCAGGTCGGTGGGCTCGATATCGAGCGTAAACTTGTTTTGCTTCAAGTCCTAGATACGAAACAAATCGATTGATTAGAATCGAAACCCACGGATTACTGCTGGGGGGTTCGGTGGCAAATGACCGGTCGGGCGGCTTACCTTGAAGGTGACCTTCATGTTGGGCGCGTAAAGGTTTGTAGGCTGTTGATTGTGGGGTAAAAAGCAGGTGAGGGTTTTGGCCAGAGAGGAACCGTAAGGTTTTTCGGCCAGCAATCGAGGGGTTATCGATGCTTAGGCAATACGGGAGGCCGTGGGAGGTTTGAGAGATATGGACAGATCGTTCGAGATGTGATGAGTTGGAATGGCAGGGGAGGGAATTTAAGGATGGTGGACGTCTAGGTTTATTCTCTCAAGTGCCTTACTGTAGCGTGGGAAATTCCGAAGGCGAAGGCGAAAGTGAAGGCGAATGGTGAAATGGATGGCTCAATGATGATGTGGATGGTTGGTCGCCTGGAGCTGGTTCCAAGTCCAGGCAGGTGCGGGCGGGCTGGGTCAATGCCTCACTGGCTTGGGCTTGGCTTGTCAGGTGGGGCAGGACGGTTCCATTACAGCACAACACAGTCTGGTTGTCCAAGTGCCGTTTTAGTGACTTTCGTCTTTCATACCGAGTTGGATTCAGCGGTATGCTCCTGAGGTACTCAGTACATTCCCGGGCAGGACTGGAGCTTGCCAGGCTTTGATAGTTCATAGCGGGGTAGGTATCCCAAAAGGGGAGGGCATGTCTCGATAGGTATTTTCTAAGAGGATCGATGGATCAATCCGATACAAGTACTTAGAGTCCAGAATGTGAGCATCAAATGAGATTCTAATTCGAGATGGCAAAAAATGGCTGGAGTGTGACGTGGCCGTGGCTGGAGTTTCTTCTCTCAGCTCATTCTCCTTCGAAAGGTGACAGGAGGAGCAGCTCGGGATTTGATCAAGAGGGATCTTTCATCGGAGGGGCCCTGATGTTTCCCCCAACTTCACATAAATGACGATTGGCTCCGTCTATCAGTGAGCTGAAACAAACAACGTGTGCTGTAAAGCGGACTGTATTAGGCTTGATGACATCAGTGAAGCCTCTGGGGCTACAGCCGAGAGTTGTAGTGGGAAGCTCCTCTCAGCTCCGTAGATACTTTCCCAAACTTACTCAGACCAAACTGTTGATGTACATTCGGTTGACATCGTATTGATGCTTCTCTGGGAAGGGGTCTGACTTGGCATGTGGTCTGCCGAGGAATTCCTCAAATCTCCAGGTCTGCTTCCCTTTCAGAGGGTATGGCCGCATTCGTCTTTCCGCATTAGTACAAAATTTCCATTTGGTCCACGCCACAAGCTCCTTGGAAGGCGGAAGGCGCGAGGCGAGAACAAGTATTCCGAGCTGTTTCTGTAGGAACAAAGAGGACGACGGCAAGCTACTGCCATCGTCTCATTGATTAATCCTACCTACGTTGCTCCTGTGCAATGGCAAAATCTCGATATTGCGACGACACTCCCCCATCTGAAACTCTCAAATCCACCCGTGACTGTCTCCAAATTCTGAATTTCCCGATTTAAGCCTTTGAGAGTTCGCGCCTCCTTGAAACGGCTTGCGGGGAAACATCCAGGCTTGGTGGATAAGCTTCAGCTGCACTTCCCAAAAGCTTGCGTCCGAACCAATCAGGGTAGCAGAATCATAGCTTCTGTCGTGCAGGCTGCACTACGAAAGTTGTCAATATCCGAAGCTGGAAACTTATTAAGCGAATATATCACTTCAATGTTCTCGTGCGTTTGCATCACGGGCTTATCCTCTTGAGCCATCGAAGAATGGTCTGGTTTTCAAACCTTGCCTTTACCAGATCGAAAAAGCTGTCGAATTCAGCGAGCCCCCAAGGGCTATCTCCCCGCTAGACTCTCGTCTCAGCTTGTGTCCTCAAATCTGCAAGATGTCCTCCTAACAGTGTACGCAAGCTGTAACCATACAGGCATAGATGGTGCCCGATACCAATAATATAGAAACAGTTCCCTCCGTAAAAGCAAATGGGGTATAATGTGCCCGCCTTTGAACAGGCCCCTTGCAACGCCGTTTTCCTTTAACCCATCTCTCTGTCCACCGTTTTGTGTCCTTGGTAAGAAATACATCGTTCTCATCATAACGCTCCCGTCGGGAGGTTCATGTCGAGGTTTCCGCGCCTCCACCTGGGCCGTGAAGAGCCTCAAGTCTCTGCCGATTAATCTCAGCATCCTGCTCCTCCTGCCTCCTCTGCGCCTCTTCCTGCTGCTCTTCCAAAAGCTTAAGCTGCGCGTGGATATCAGCCGTGGCCTCGTACTCCTTCCCCGTGGCCGCCTGGAAATCATCAAAGTCCATCTTCAGCCGCTTGGGCCCCACGAGCGCCGCGTCGATGCGGGCCCGCGCGAACCTCTCCTCGCGGTTGAACTTCATCTTGATATGACGTCGCTGCCGACCGGGGAAGAGCTGCGCGATCATCTCAAAGTCCGTGCCAAACCTCTTAAGTGCATGGTAAAACTTTTCCGTGTCTTCTTCGGACCAGTGGTTGGGGCCCCGGAGCTTGCTTCCCGTGCGGAAACTATTGCTCGTCACTTTGTGCGTGAATTCGTTCTCTTCGACTTCCTCTATCGGTCCGTCCATGGCGTCGCGAGCGTGCCGGTCCATAACGAGCGAGCTCTGGTCCACCACGATCTGGCCGTTAACGATCTGGAACTGCGGTCCTGCTGCTCTGGGAGGCGCTGATGATGATGGCACTCGCTCTGAAGCGGGGGCGGGGGCCGGACTCTGGGAAGCCTTCACCGAACCGTCAGTCGAATTACGCGTGCGAGCCTTACGCTCCCGGTCCCGAAGCTCATCGTGCCTGCTAAACTTCTTTCCAATGCGTAAGTCCCTTGTCAGGTCTGCCATTTTTAGTTTCTGCAGATCGACAACTTGATGCTCGGCCTCAGGCGGGGTTTCAGATCGCGCGCGACTTCTTCTTCGGGTGTCGTCGCCGGTCGCTTCCGTCGAACCCTCGGCTCGAGGTTTTCTCTGTCGTTTTGGTTTAGGCGGCGCATCAGCTTCACCCTCAGTCCCGTCGGTTGCTGCGTTCTTAGCTCGTCTCTGTCGAGGTTGGCGCTTGGGTTGAGGAGTGGCGGAGCCGTTCGGATCCGATGCCTGGGTTGCATCTTGTTGAGCATCAAGAGTCTTCCGCTTTCTTCCTCTTTTCGCTGGTGTGGGTTTCGCGACGGGAGGAGCAGAAGAAGCGGGACCTTCGGAGGATGGAATGGGGTCGTTTGGAGACAGCGCTTGCGTAATGTGGGTAGATGTAGGCAGGTCCTCAGCTGTGGATGGAGGAGTGGCAGAGGAAACTGCTCGTGTGCTAGGTTCGCCGGGCTGACCGCGCGTCGATTGGGATTGGGCTTCCTCAGCCCTGGTCGTGGAAATGGCTGGAACGGCATTTGGCTGCTCTTGTTGGGGTGGAGCAGCGACTGGTTGATGCTGGGGCTTAAGGGATGGTGTCGCCGCGATTGACGATGTCGGGGTAACTATAGCCGCGTTTTGCGTAGTAGACCCATTTGGACCGGTTACTTTTTCGGTTGTGACAGATCCAGGGCGTATATTTCTTCCGTTTGTTGCCTGCGAGGCCGCCGCACGTTTACCCGGCTGCTGCGATTTCTCGGATTCATTCGCAGGCACTTGAGGCACACTAGGAGTTGTGCTTGTCTGATCGGTTGAGCGGTTCACTTCAATCGAGTCGGATGGTCTCGAGGACGGAGGAGTTGGTAAAGGCGGTTCGCTTTGTCGCGATCCGGCTTGGGCGCTGGGAACATCGGCCGTTGCTGGTTTCGGTGGCTGCGGGGCAGGCGACGCGGTTGCAGAGATTGTCGATGGTGGGGGGGCAGGCGATGCCGAGGCGGAAGAGGCAGTCGCAGAGGGTGCAGGACGACCTCGAGGCACCAGCTTGGGCTTGATCGAGGGCCCCGTCTTCTTTTTGAACATGGAACTCATGTTGGCGAGAGAAGGCCGATTGGCGTCCACTACGTGGATGCTTCAGGGAAGACGGGGCGGGGTTCAAGTTTTTTTCCCTTTCGTGGTGTCACGGGTCAAGGGTCGAGTCTCGTGCGGGATTTCATAGAATTGCCGGTCGGAGGTGAAAGAATAAAGGACAAACGCCCGAGAAGAGTTTTCGCTTCGGCATTGACAATCAGCGGCGGTAGTGTCTGTTTCGGTTTGGACTCGGAATGGCGGGGGAAAGAGATCTCGATTGCCTGAGGGAGGGAATGAACATTAAGTGGGAGGGTGACGAGAGAGTCGCACATGAATCCCTGAAAATTGGAAGTCGGAGTGTACATGTTCGATGTACCTTTTTTTTTTTTTTTTCTAGTTCTAATTTTTTTTTTTCTTTTTCCTTTCTCTTTTTCTTTATCTGGGTCCTTCCTGCCGTGGCGACGAATCAGTCTCACGGACGTACCAAGTACGTCGCACGGAGTACAACCTGGAGAATAGATTCGGAGATTTACCCACAGATTAGCCCTGTACGCAAAATAACAATAATAGACACTAACATTTAACTCGCCTGGCCGCACCAACCAATCCTTCCCTCGCATTGAGGCTACGCCAGCACTAAACCCCTTCTGGATCTCTCAAGCCTGAGAATTGTTCCTTCATTGTTGGAAACTTTCGAAAATTCATCGACTCTGGCGTTTCTCCTTTCCAAACCAGTCATTCCCCCTTCCACCCATTCTCCTTATCGCCTGCAGGATCGCATTTCCTCGACGTGTTCCGACCAAACATTATTTTGATGCAGCAATCGTCGGCTTCATTGTCTTCCTGCAGCCACTAGCGAATCCCCCCCCCCCCGTCGCTGGACGGGCGACACCGACCGGTTCATTCATCAATCTTCTACCGCTCCCCACGCCCCTGACCCCCCTCTCAATTTCTTCCTACGCTTGTCTCTTCTTGTCGACACCCTCACCCAGCAGCAGCCCTCCCGTCCGTCTCTCTCTACTCCTCTAATGCCTGTTGCGACAAGTCACAAATCCTCCCTTCGCACGTCCGCCTCATCCAAGATGGACAAGGACAAGATCGAAGATAGGAAGCGCCCTGCTGGTACCAGTGACGATGGCGCGCCGCCACGCAAGAAGTTGGCCGTTAACGGCGGCGTGGCGAAGGACGACTACGAGGGCCAACCCGAAGAAGTCTGGATCGAGGTGAGTCGATCGCGCGTCTTTTCATCGCGACGATTAATTTTCCCCGTCTCTTTTCTGCATTTCAGCATTGTCTCCTGTCATTTCTGGACATCTTGAAGCCGAGAGCGGTACTTGTTGAGAACGCTACGGTCTGTTGGCTCACACATCCCGCCCCAATGTGAAAAATCTCGCCGTGTCAACCAGACATCCACAGACAAATCCTATCATCAAACACCGCAACCATGTCCATCCATTATTCAACATCGTGGGCGCTCATTTCCTTCGTGCGACGACCTCCAAAAATGGCCTCGACCCTCATTCCACACTTGTTCTCTTTTGCTTCGCTTTTTCCTATTGTCGATTCATCACTGCGGTAGACACGTGCTAACTGAGGGTGCCAAGAACTTCACGCGAGGCGCGATATACCGTCGAATGCATGAGTACAAACGTGAGGCTGCAACATATTCTGCCCGCCTCGAAGAATTGCATAAGAGATCGTTATATCATGACGACCACATTCGAATCGTCGATGCTTGGTGGCGCCAGGTATGCCCTCCCCAAATCCCGACACTTCCCCGAATTCGGATTGGATTCTGCCCAGCCACCTTCGACCCCTGAGCCCTTAGACCTTCAGTCGACTGACTCCGCCCTAGCTGTTACAAGAGATCGAGTTGGTAGCTACTTCGACCGTACCTTCCGACGCCATATCACCGGGTAAGCCTCTGCCATGGACCCTGATCGTTTGACTTGTACTTGTGCTGTCGAGTGCTAACCCAAAACCCCATTCCAGACCCCCCCTACCTCACTGGAGTCACCTTTGAGGACAGCACCGATTTCCAAAAGCACCTCGACGAAAAAGCCAAGGGCATCAAGACGAAGGCTGAGGCACTTCTCAACCGCCTCGCGGCATCGAGGGGCAGCATTGACCCTAATCTCTCGGCCCTCGAAGAACGAATCAACAAGCTACTTGCGAGTCAGAAGGAATACTTCGTCAAATTAGACCGGCTCAGCTCCGAGAAGGAGCAGCTTTCCGAGCAACTAAACACCGCGACACTCCGATACTTCAAGGCGGAGAAGAAACTCGACAGGGTGAAGAGTGCGCAGGTGCGGGAGCTCGAGAAGCAAGCCCTAGCAAACGACACCAAACAGTCCGCCCCTGCTTCGGAGACCAAGGGTAACTCAGAACCTAATGGCGTGAGCCCAGAAGTCGTCCAGAAGTACGAGGAGGAGCGTGCTGTGGTCGCTCGACAGAAGGAACAGATACAGTCCATCCTGGAGGAAATCAAGACCCTACAGGAGGAAAATTCGGCGTTAAAGTTGCGTCGGGAGACGCTGACTGACGAGGACTACATTAGGACCGATGTGTTCAAACTGTTCAAGTTGAAAAGTGAAGAGCTGATCAGGCAGGTGAACCACCTCGAGGCCACAAACGCTCAATTAAGGGAGGAGGTTGAGAAGCTCAGCGCGGAGCGGACGAACTTCAAGAGGCAGGTCGAAGCCGACGCGCAGGCCTTGACTCAGGAACTCGACACCGACCTTGTAGCGCGCGATCATGACCTAGCACGCCTACGGTCCGCCAGGGATGAACTACTAGCCGACAACACCATGCGCAAAGCCAGCCAGGAACAACAACATTCTGCCCTTGAACACATGAAGGAACTCGTCAGTGTCAAGGATGATAGAATCGCTGCTTTGGAGTCTGAAATCGCGAGGCTTAAACCGGCGGAATCTGAGGATCAGGAAATGACCGAGCCCGACGCTGAGGTAGACGGCCTGGAGCGGGACGCGCTGCTTACGAAATATCGCAAGCTTCGACAAGACTACCAAGCCGTATCAAATGAACTCCCGGCGATGGAAAAGGCGTACCGAAAGGCGATGGCTTTAAGTCACAAGAAAGTGATGGACTTCGAGGCGCTCGAGAATCGAAACAGCATCCTTATGGCGGAAAAGAGCAAGGCCGATCAGAAATACTTCGCAGCGAGGAAGGACGCCGATACCAAGATGAGCGAGATCCGAACGCTTAGGCTTCAGAGTGGTAAGAGCACGGAGATCATCGCCCAACTTAAAGAGGTCGAAGCCCAGAACCGCATTCTCCTGGTCAACCTGGAGAAGCAGGTCTCCGATCTGAAGCAATCCAACATGACCCTGGCTGCGGAGAACAAGAAGCTCGAGACAGCCGCATCCGAAGCGACGAGGAAGTCGGACTCTTACAAGAAGGAAATCAGCGACTTGACCAACCTCGTAAAGTCCAAGGATTCTACCGTAGCGGCAACGAGAGAGCGTAACATGACGCTGGAAACGGAAACCGATCGACTCAAGGTTCGGACGGAAACGCTTCAGAAGGACAAGGAGAGTTGGAAGACAAAGGCTGAGAGCAACTCTTCAGATGTTGAAAAGGGTCTCAGGGTAAGTTTAAGACCTAACCACAATTTCCAACGATATCTTTCCCCTCCTCTATTTTCATGCTGTGTGTGACTTGCAGAAGTGCAGTCAACCCCTTTGTTCGTGTTTCGTTACTAACTTCATGAACCTTTCCCCGCATCTAGACCCTTATGGTTTGTTCGATTTGCAACGAGAACTTCAAGAATACTGCACTCAAGACTTGTGGACACTTATTCTGCAACAAGTGTGTGGAGAATCGAATCAGCAACCGTATGCGAAAATGCCCCACCTGCTCTCGAGCTTTCGACAAGATGGATGTCATGGCTGTCCATCACTAGGTGGAGGGTTGAGAGACTCGAGGGGACATGCAGATACTTTGGCGCGACGGAAGCGCGTAAACGATAACACCTGTTGGCTATTTCACTGCTGCTGTACGACTAGATGCGAGGCAGGCTGGAGAACATGCGCCCACTCCATTCTCTGCTGTATTATGTTTTGTTGATATCCGTGGTGCGGAGGAGGAAAGAGGTGGACGAGAACAGCGAACGACGACAGAACCCCTTGATGGCCACACGCAATACCTTCGATTTTCTTCTCCGCCTGTTACTATTTTTATTTTTCAGCTGCTGAGCTACTTCTTTCTCACAGCCCTGATCCGAGATGAAGGAGGATCCATCGAGTATACAGCCCTGGCGAACGGCGCCTTCGAAATAAAAAAACGACACATTTTCAAACGAACACTCTACTCGGGCAGAGGGGAAATGAACTTTCTTCTCTTCTGTTCCGAATTTGTACTTCTACTGTTTCTGTCTCCGCGGAGAAAATGCTGCGTGCGTGCGAACGCTATGTGTAGGAAATGTTCTTTTTGTCTTGGCAGGAACGAAGGGGATTCTACCGCCTGCATCATATACCGCGTTCGGGCGTGTCTACGGGTCTGTCTACGGACGTGTCTGTGTGTTTCGACGGGGGGAAACACAGTGTAGCCTTGGCATTTGGGAAGGGGGGAGCGGGGGGGAGGAAGCATTCTGAAGTGTTACATTTTCTGTGGTTGTATTATTGTACATGTTGTACGGACTGGCTTAAAACAAGATTCCCCGGGGAGCAGCGAGCATTTGGTGCGAGGATGAAGGAGGCAGGCGGAGAGGTATATAGCGTGATGGATTCGGTGGTCCTCTGCGGACAGATGGATGCTTTTTGGCGTCGGTATATACCACTCTTTGTTTCCGCGGCTGCTAGCTGTTCCTCTCGCGTAACTTTTGTGTTGTGCTTTTGTGTCGTCCAAGGATGTTTGGTGGTGTGCAATTCGAGCGAGCATCTTGTTATCGCCATGTCCATTCCCTTCCACCCCTTTACCGCCTTGAAGTCGAACCAAATCCGGTACTCTCATGCGTCCTGCCCGATCCCGAAGCGAACGCCGAAGAAGAAGAAGAAGAACGGGCAGTCGACGATTCTCCCCGACTCCAACCACCACCACCATACCTCCTCTCGTCCCTGCGATTGTTGCCCCCCGTAGCCAGATAGGTAGCCGCCGCACCGCTCGCCAGACCCGTCCAAAATCCCGGCTGCCACTGTCCCGCATTTCCCGATCCATAGGGCTTATGGCCGGGATACGGCGGCGGCGGATCGTGGTCACCGCCTCCACCTGGACCCCAGCCGGGACCTCCCCATCCTCCTGGTCCATCGCTTCCGGGCCAATATCCCCTCCTCCTGGCCTCACCGGGTCGTCTCTGACCATCCGCCCCCTCGCCAAAACAAGCCGCATACAGAATCCACGCCGCAAAGCCCACAAACGCCGCAGCCCACAAATACGAAACCCAATCCCACCCCTCAGTCCAACTACTACCCCTCGCCACCTCAGGATACCTCCTCTGCCCCTTATCCGTCAAAACAAGCCTGTACTCCACCCCACAACTGCCCTTCAAAACATACGGATCATCCCGAGAATCGTACCCCTCACAAATAACCTCCGTGCTGCCCAATCTCAGCTCCTCGGGCAACTCAGCCTTGCAGGACCATTGGATATCCTCGGTGCCGTAGGCTGATCCTTGGTTCGTGCAGCGCATCACGTCGATTTTGTGCAGCGCGCATATCGAGGCCGGGGACACGCAGCGCAATTGGGGGATGGCGGAGACGCGGCGGTGGGTGGTTTGGGAGGAGGAGCGGAGGGTGAGGGTGCGGACTTGGGAGAGGAGGATGGCGTTTTTGGGGCGGGAGGCGAGGGTTGGGGAGAGGAGGAGGAGGAGGGCTGTGAGGGTTTGGAGGACGTGCATTATTTTTTTCTCTTGATTTTTCTGTGCCTTACTCGTTGGATTTGTTTGGTTGCTTGTTTGGATGTGGTTTTTGGGCTGATCAATTGGTTGATTTTGTGAGTGTTCCTCGGTCGTGTCGCGATGCGGGGACGACGCGGTTGAGAACGAGCTTCGCTAGGGAGGACCAGTGAGAAGCTGGCAAATTGTAGGTATCGACGTCAAAAGACGAATCTCGAGACTGCAAGTCGTAAAAGAGATTGAAAGAGAATTCCAGTTGTAGCCCTGAGGCGCCTTGATGGCGAGTGGCGAGTTGGGACGGAAAAGGACAGATTTCGTTTTGTTCTTGGGTCGTCGTAGTTGCCCGACTTGGTGAGGCTGAGGCCAAAAAAAAGAATGCCCTGGACCAGACCGGCCTCAATGGATTGGTGAGGGACAAGGGGAAAACGGGAGATGTGCTGGAATGGATTTCATGAGAAAGAAAAGGTGAAAGGAAAAAAAAAGATCCAATGCTCACTGGGGTCGAAGAGAAGAAAATCTGGCTTTGTTCAATTTGTCTTCTTTCATCGTCCTCTTTTTTGAGAAGAACAAAAGGGCGCTTTGGTCCTTCCGGAATAGGCAATGAGCTCTAGGAAGGAACCATCATCTTAGGTCCTCGGGTCGCACCTGCCTCCGCATGCCGCTGCATAAACATCATGGAATACAAAAAAAAAAAAAAAAAGCAAAAATCTCTCGAAGTTGCTAGAATTACATTTTGGCGAGATGCCAATCAACTCTATGCTCCATGTAGATCCAATAGTATACACTCTCACTCTTACCCCCAAGCCATTTTGATGCTACCAATCCTATCCCCATTTTCATATCAAATACACACACACCCACACCCTCAACCAAGCCCATGCTCAGCAACAACATGCCAAAAGTGGTGCTTCATATACCTCTCCCTCTCCCCCTCCCCCTCCCCCTCCGCACCCTCCGCCCCCTCCACGCCCGCCTTCCTCTCCCTGACGGCAGCAACAAGCTCCCTCGCCCCCTCCTCATCGCCCTCCTTCAATAGCGCAACAAGCAACTGATCCAGCACGCTAAGCGCCACCCTTCTCTCCCTCCTCAGCCTGAAAAACGCCTCCTTCGCCTCCTGCGCCAACCCGGCCCGCGAATACCCGCGTATCACCACCTCCCAGAACACGCTGTCGACTTTACTCGACGCCTCGGCGGGCGTCGTCTCGAGACCCCATGCCCGAATCATGTCGCGTACGGCTTCGACCTCGCCGTGAGAGAAGTAGTAGTCTGCGATGATGGTGAAGATGTGTGAGGAGGGGAGGATGTTGTTGCGTTCCATGTGTGCGAGGACGGCGTTGACGGCTGCCGAGGCGTCATGCGGCGGCGGGAGAGCCTTTGATCCGCCGCTCTCGTGTTTGTCCCGAGGCGGGTCGAGGAGGACGTGGATCATCTTGGCGTAGGTTGCGATCTTGGGCTTTTGGCCAGAGGCTTTGATGGCGGCGAAGATGCCGTTTACCGCCTCTAGCTGCTGCTCTTCCGTCGAACCGGCCGCCGCTCCGAGGACCTCTTCGACGATAATGGTAAACGTCGCCGCATCGGCCCCGACGCGTCGACTGTTCATCTCGCTCAGGAGCCCCGCTGCCTCGGTCGCTAGCCCATCCTTGAGCATCGCCCTTAGAAGCATGTTATACGTGACGATGTCGGGCTCGACATCATATTTCGCCGCCCACGAGAGTACCGCCGGCGCAGCCTTGACGCCCTTGGACCGTAAAACTCCCGTCAGAGCCGCGTTGACGGGGCCGACGTCCGGCTTCACCGCTTCGTCTTGCCTGCCGTGCTTGACCGCCTCGTCCCAGAGCTGACCCATCTCGTAGAGCGCCTTGATGGCCGGCTTCTCCAGCCCGCACGCCATCAGCGCTGATATCCTCGCAGACCAAATCACCGAGTCTAAGGGTACGCCGTCCTTGACGAGCTTAGCCCAGAGTAACCCGATGTTCCTCGGCTTCCTGGCCTGCTTCCATCCTTCAATCATCGAGGTGTAGGTCCTCAGCGTGTAATCGAACCCGTTCTGGCTCATAAAAGTCAAGACGATGTCAATGTCCTCCTGACCGAGCGCGCACCAGATGAAGACGCAGAAATTCAGCAGGTCGGCGTAGCGTTTATGTTCTTCCGAACCAATCTGGACGGCGCTATTCTTCTGGATTTGACCCGAGAGCTCGACCCAGACTTGCCGGATGTGGTCGAGGTCCCGCGCTTTGAACGCACGCGAGAGGTGCCGATGGAATTGGCTCGGATCTAGAATAGGCTTCATCCGCTCCCGCAGAATGTCCATGTTTTCCTCCACGTAAGAACGTAGAATCTCCGATTGTCCCTGGAACTCGTGCATCGCCTCCTCAGGGCTCACCCACACCGACGCCATGACATCCTCCAAGAGATTGAGTAGCGGCGCGATTGGTTTTGCGGCGTCGCTGGACCGTAGGCCCTCCCTCTCGATCAGCGTCAGCGTAGCTAGGAGAAACGCAGGCATCCCGACCAGCTGAACAGCTGGGGCGGGGGCCATGAGGCCCTGAATCACTGCCGCGAATGGGTCCGGTCGCCGTATCAAGCGCTGGATCTTTGCACTCTTCAGCGCCGGAATGCGCAGCACGCTGAGTCGCGCCGGTTGGGAAGCGCTAAAGATGACTAACCAGAGCCCGGCAACGTCCTCGACGATGTGAGCCGTATCACTGGTCTCACTCTGATGTGCGGTTATGTGCTCAAGCGTCCCCTTCACGAGCCTCAACAGAGGCCGCAGATTCGTAGCCCTCCCAACGTCAATGTACACCTCCGCAATCTCCTTCCCGCTAGGCAAACTCCGATCCCCAATCCGCTCCCTCTTCGCCTCCAAGATAGGCTCCAGCAAGCCCCTCAACCCGGCCGCCAACGTGGCATTCACTCCCTTCCCGCTCCCCAAAACAGGTAATATCTCCTCCTTAACCGTCCTCCACGCCTCCTCGACCGTCATCTGTCCCGACCTCATTAGGAACCGCACCTCCGTGATCCGCTGTCCCACATTCGACTCGTCCACCCCTCCATCGCCCTCCTCTTCCCCTCCGACAACACTCTTAAAAAGCGCCAAACTCCTCTCCTTGTGTCCCATGCGCGCGGGGCCCCATGTTTTCGCGCCCTCTGAAGCCCTCAGTGCAGGGTTTATCCCGCCGCTGCCTTCTCTTTGTCTCCAGCGGGACGCCTCCAGCCTCGCAGCAGAGACACTTATCCCCCGCACCGCCACGCTTCCGACACCGTATACCCTTCGCGCAGGCTTCGCAGCCGCCGCAGACCCCACCGCGAGGAGCAATCGCCGCCGGAGACATAGCTCGGTCGAGATCGACATCGCTTCCTATATCCGGTACGAATTGGTCGCTATTCGAGGCATCGCGCGTGCGCTACGTCGATCGGCAGGTCGAAGAAGGGTCTCTCTCGTGTATTTCGATTATTTTATCGGTCCCGCATTCGATTCATGCCGTGTTTTGGTTCGAGAGGAGCTGTGGTGCTGCGAGCGAGAATTTTGATGAAGTTGGGATGAGGTTTGGCCAAGGTTGCTGCTTTCCTCGGTGATTGGTCCGTGTCAAATGCGTTCAATCCGGGTAGCCTTACTTCGTACAGGTCCACTGATCTCTACACAGCCACTGCCAAGACTGAACTACCTCGACTTCTTCGCACCCCGGGGAGTATTGGTAGGAAAAACGTGCCTTAATTGATGGGAAAAGGTATTTATTGCTCATGTACTTCATAAAATTCGTGCCGGGGAAAAAAAGTAAAGTGGAGGTTACTCTAGGCGGCTATGTTGAGCTCTTCTCCATCAACTCCTGTTCCCGGGGCTCTTGTCGAGATATCTACGATACTAGTCTCTGCCCGCCAAAACTTGCAGAGGGGTAGGAATTGGAACAAGAGACAAGGGGGGTTCGTCTCATGCAGCATGTACATACTCACATACTGCCGTCATGTCTCCTCCACACACACTCTCTCTGACACTCACACACACCCGTCCCCCCCACATTCGTAGCCCACATCCCGACCCCCGGGAACTGGTTCCCCTAGGGTCTTCCCGCCATCACCGATCGGTACATGGGTATCAGAGCCGCATCCGCATCCGTCTAAGTCGCTAAATCCATCGGATCCCGGCCCTCAGTGTACCACACTTCGTCCAGACCCTGACTATCACCCAACCTCAAAGATCCGTGCCTTTTCAACGCAATGTCTACGTGAAGGGCAAGAAGACCATTTCGTCTAATGTCGTCGAGTGTCCGCTTCTGATGCCATTTAACGGCTTCGAGGGTGTCCCGCTGCAAAACCGCCCGAGGGTCAGGTGTCACTTGAATGAGAAGCTAAAAGCAAGAAATTAGTATTTAAAAAAAAAAACACACCACCATTCCATGGGAAGGATTTGAACAATACCTTGTCAATAGAGTCGATCCTTGCACTGAGAACCCCGCTCCGAATCATCTCGCAGAGCTCTGCTCCAAGCGACTGCCCGGGCTTGCCAAACGCCGCCTCTAGGTTTTCCAGCTTGATACACGCGTACGGGATCAAATATTGGACAATGCATTTGGTCCGGATCTGCTTGTACAAACTCGCAACGTGCTTGTAAAGGTAAATGTCGAGGAGGTGGTCGGGCTTGCAGGAATCTAGGATCTCGAGACACGCGGTGTATTTCCCGTTCACGTAAAGTCCCAGAGCCTTTCGCAGATGTGGTTCGAGTTCGAGGAATGGTCGGAAGGTCTGGCTCTCGAGCACCTTAGTCTTCAAGGCAGATCGGTCCATCGTTGCCAGGGCCAGGATCGCTCCGTATACGGCGATGTCGTTGGGGCTCGGGATATCGGGCTCGCTTGCCAATCGAGGGTTGTTGTCCACGGAGAGGAAACATTGCGCAGCCTCCTTGTAGGCTTCAGCTTCGAGATGGGCAAGTCCCTTGGCAATGTTGACATATCGAAGAGTGGCGGTGGCGTCTTCCGGAACCTCTTGAGTTTGAAGACTCAATAACTTGCCAAGCTGGAGCGTCACCGTAGTCCAGTCGCGCATCTGGATGCCTACTCGAACTAGATGCTTGCCGACATCGATTAAATGTTTAGGAGTGCTGGCATCCGTTCGCATGTTTCCATATACTTCGCTGGCTTTCGCAAGAGCGCCGATCGCTTCATAGTGCCGTCCGAGGTCTTCATTTCCGATCTATTAGAAGAAAAGTGTAACTGTTAAAATACCGCCCTGTCTTCTTCCCACGTAGTGTATAACGATGACGCGATGGACGAAATAACTCACCCGAACGCTTTCCTTGACAAGGTTACTTCGATAAACCTTCAACTGGCTCTCGAGATGTTGAGTTTCCTTCTTATTGGCAGAGGAGGTCTTTTCGATCCAGGCTTTGTCAAGCTCCGTCTCAGGATCGCTTAGAGATACTCGGCGAAGGGCATCGACGACATCTCGGTATCTTTCAACATCTTTGCCAGCCTTGGCTTCGGCGACGGCGGCTTTCAACGCATCGACGGATAGTACAACGCTCGTTCGTCCAATATGGTAGAGGCGATCAAATCTCGTTCGACCTGGGATGATAGAGAAGAAATGTTAACTCGACGAAGCTTAGGAGCAGGTCTGGAGTGGATCAGGCAGAGAGGGGGCTTTCCTACCTTTGTAATTTTGCAAGTAAAGCTCAAGATCGAGCTTTGGCTGTTCTATATCAAGATGTTAGAATGCAACATAACATCATGACCCGAAGCTTGATGGGAACATGTAGAGAGCTAGAGAGGTAGAGTCCATACCTCGCACAATGGTGCGCCCTTCACTGGCCAACTCAGCAAAGAAGGCTTCAACCTTCTCCAAGTTCTCACCGGACCCCATGGCGAAGATGGAGAACTATCAGCCAGGCGGCTAATTACGATATTAAGGTTGGATGGAAGCTCTTCACAAGACCAGGGGTGCTGCAGAGCTAGGTTGCTTGTTTGTCGGGGAGCTTGCTGCCAGCTTGAAGGTAGGACCAATGCTGCCTGCACACTAGAGGAGGGGTTCTTTGGTTGGTGGAGGGGTCCAGCAAGCTGCCAGTTCATATGACAGCTGGCGACATTTTCACATTTACAAAGTACTTCCATCAACACAACAGAATGCCGCTTATGTAATATGTTAGTCCCAGTCAGTTTTGCTGATTGTTCAACCCAGAAACATCAGAAGGCAATTCCTCTCCCAGGTCAACTGTATCAAAATTGAAGAGTAGCTGTGGCGAAGAAACAAAAGTTTTTCTTGTGAACAACAGCACTAGGTTGGGACTGATAATATCCACGATGTGCCCCAGTCCTGCAGCTCTCGTAAAACAGCTAATAATGAGGCTTTCTGACAGGTTTACTGACTCTTTCAAGCATTGGGGTACTTACGAGGTATCATGTTGTATTTGACATCCCCAGCAATCTTCTCCTCGAATGTGGCGCCTTCTCGGGGCCCCTTGAAAACGGCGGGGGAAAGAACCTGTGACGCCAAACTAAACTCCGTGCTCCGATCACCGACCGCTCTCCTCCACGCACACACAAGGTGAGAAGGCTGAAGGCACAGACCTTCGGAGATCAAAAATCGACTGCTGAGAATGAGTCTCCTCTCCTGAGACTTTTAACCCCCCCCTTACGTCAAGCTCTTTCAGCATAAATCCTCGACGGGGTTGGGACACGACACACATTCATGTCCCATCACATAGCGTCAACTAACACTCCCCACTCCTGCGCACTAGTAGTGTAGGACATGGAGTGGGGGAAGAAGAGGGGGGGTCCCTGCTATGACTGGTGGAATCCATAAAATTTAATACCTGCTCGCAGCATGGCTTCTGATTGATTCGTCGGTCAAGGTGCAATTTAATCACTTTCCTCTGCTGCAGACTCTGTAGCAGTGTCGTGTAGATCTCGAGGAACTAAATCATTTCGGCGATTTCGAATGCGACGCTGGGTGAGGTGAATCCACATCCCATCGCGTAGAACACATTCGATTTGCCACGACTCTCTCTCTTCTTGCATTGTCGGTTGCGACGCCGAAGAGAGATACTCGAGCGATATATCGATCCGCAGACTTGCAGAGAGGAGTACGTAACACTTCTTCTCTTACTCCTCCGTGGGTGCCCACTTCATAGGTGCACGAAGTAGTGTCGCGCCAGACCAGCCAACACCGTTAGTTTCCTCGCTGGCTAGCGCACCTATCTGTTCGTTTCGAGGCTGACAGCCCGGCTCGTCTGTGACCGCCCTTGCCGTCGGGATTGAGAACATCCAGAACCAGACTCCGCACGTCTTCCCAGATCGCACACACCACTGATCGTCACAAGGGGTTTTACATTTAATATCCCGTTCACCATCTTCTCCACTCTCTTCTGTCCCAGGTAGCACAAGGCTCGAGAGGTTAATCCGCACGTTCTTGCTCTGTCCAGTCTGTGAAGCAGATAGTAGCATCACGATTCAATATCTGAAGCTCATTTATACCTTACAGCCCATTCATTCAACTACTTAGGAAGACCTCCGGGCCAGGCTCCATGGCACAGGTTATTGCCACAGATTCCGGTTTCCCAGCATCCATCGTTCCGAATGCCAATGGCTAAATCGTGCCTCGTGATTCTTCAAATAAACCCCTCGGGGCAACTCAACATACGGACCCGAGACTTTCCTTGTAATGCCCGGAAAGACAGCGGCGGGTGGAATACGAGCGGAAAGGGTTCACTCCAGACGAGGAATCACCCAGGGGACTGGGCCGGATTCTCCACCATTGGCCCGAGTCCCAACGAGCTAACAGACAACGTGCGAGGGGGGTTACGTACTCCCTGTCACTAGCCCTGGGGTTCTGGATCGGACCCGAGCAAGCTAGTCCAGTCGTGTGTGATCCACAGTCCAGTTTGATGCTTTTCGACCAATACCAGCGGCGGGGTGCCACCTTGCCGACTATGCAGCGCAGCGACATCCACAGCTACACAACACCCAGCACGCACCGCGGCCCGCCAGAAGGTGCCATCATCAGCCTGGCGGTGTGAAGGCCCAAGGAATTTGGCAAATAATGTTCGACGTACGAAGGTACCACCTCGTCCGTACTGTGTGTGTCTGTGTGTAGCGTATGCGGGAAAAGCAGGTTTGAGCCAGGCCATTGCGGGGGTGCTGCGGTATAATTGCCTGGCAAGGTATGAAAGTATGCAATAATAACCCGCGCACCATATAGGGCGAGGCGCAAAACCAGCTTGCGTGAACAGCTTTCGGCTACCGACTTCGTCCCGTCATCAAATCGTAACAGATGGGTTTTGGTCTGGCTGGATCGCACGGTAAACACCATCGCTTGGCGGGCCACCCTGCATACCCCCATGGACGACCGGGTGCGGAGTATTTGATTCCGTCATGCCTGCACGCACATTTTAATGCAATATCGCAAGGCGTAACACAACTCCCCTCTCAGGCACGAGGCATGTGAGGGGAGGAAGGGAGGGCAAAAAAATTAAGGGAAGACCAAGAATGAGTTGGCCTGTTAGTAGCACGATATCTGCATTGCAAAAGTGCATGCTGACGAGTCCTCTAAATCTTGGCTGTAGTAATTGGCTAATCGGGGTCCCCGGTGATAATAGAGCCTCTGGACTTTTCCATTAGACACATGCTGCCAAGAGCCAAGATTCCCGCCAAGCATTTTGTCAACGTCTGGGCCTCGACGCCAAGACAGCACCATCAATGTCTCAACCGCTATCTCCCATGTCTTTTGCTTGTTTAGAAGATAGGAGATGGAGAGAAACCGACAACGGATGGATTCCATTAGTCAAAAGACACTGGCGGGGATGGTTGAGGTTGCTTAAGATGCACATTGCACCACGCCAAGTGAGTCAGCCGGGCTGATGGTTTAGAGATGGCACAAGTTGACGAGGCACTTTCCCAAACGCATCCCACCACGTACGGGCGCTCTCTCCTCCCAAGTTGGATCCGTCTTGATATGTCGTCGATCGGGAAACCCCGTAATTGGGTATCTGTGCGCCATTTATACCTACTTCGTACTTCTCCATGGTTCTCTAACCAAATATGATGGAAATCAGCGCTTTGGACATCCGCTCATGTGTCGAAGGTGTGGATACTTGCGAAACTCCAGGATCCCCCGTTACCCGCTTCAGCCCCAAGATCGGGCTGAATATAGCCCGTCCCAGGATCAAGATGCTTTTGAATGCCCCATGTTCGCAGATGTTATTAAACTTCGTAGATAGTAGTGTAACTGTCGTCGGATCAAGCCAGTATTAGTGTGTGGAAGTTGGTCTTGGCGCTGGATGGGGTATGGAGGGGGTGCCGTTGGAGTTCGTCCCTAGTGTTGTGTTCCCACTATGATGGGTGCTGGCTGGTAAACTTACCAGAATTGATGGATTAGGATGTGACGGGTGTGTGTCAATGCCAAGACATTGAAGGTCAGATGCGGAATTTTCTCCCAGGCATAGACATGCACCTGTGATGTATGCCAAGACTTGATGCTCTGCTAGCTCAGGAGCTGTCCCTGGTCTACCCCAGACCCCTGTTTTTGTATTTCGTTCTCTTTTTATGTTTGGAATGACAACGTCCTTACCGCCAGGCTACGTCCGTCTGTCTCGAATGCCGCATTCGCAATCAGGGCGTGCGGGACGCACAAACGAGTGCACCCAACTTAAACTCAACTACGAAGTACGGTGAGCAATGTGCTTCTGCATTTGTAGCTGGAGACGAACCTCCTTGATCGAATCTTGGCGCCTATTGCTCTGTTGTTCTACAGCGCGCAAGTCGGTCGATGGATCTGGAAAACTGCTAGATCAAAGAGGAGAACTTGCGAATGCGAATGATGATTCCAGGCCCATTCAGAGAATGTAGTGGGTCTTGGCCATTGATTGGCAAACATCAAATCTATTTGATTTAAGTCTTGGTAGCCCTAGTTTACTAGGCCGGAGTGGAAAGACCGAGATCAATTGATGACGACAGCTACCAGACTGGTGCGATCGGAAAAATTTTGAGTATTATGCGCGATGCCTCGTACCATCTCTCATCACGATGCTCCGCTATTCCATTTTCCCCCTTCCTTTTGTGCAATTTCCGAAATTTAGCACGGATGCGATTTCACAAGTGTCGAAGAATCAGGACGGTCTGAATTCTCTGACAGTTCGCGTCACTCATCGACTCCAAGTGGGTGGAGGGCTCCAGAAAAAAAACTCGACTGGGATTGCGATGTTCCACCTGCCTCGCGCTCTCGGCCTCGGCGTTAAGACCGAAAACGCAGCCGCGAGAGAGAAAACGCTCAGCAAACCTGGCAGGTATGACCAGTTTACATAGTACCGATTCGCGACTCCCAGATACCCTGTACATACAAAGGATTAGCACATACAGTGCGCGGGCAGGGGCGGCTCTTATTTGCAGGGAAGCTCCGATGTGGCCTGTGCTTGCTATTCGTGCGCTCAAAGGATGCGGGACACGAGTACACTACTTCGAAGAATTAATGTTAATTGTTAGTGAGGTTCGAGGCGTGGGTCATACGAAGTACAGTGCTTACCAAACCAAGGCCCGATTCGACGCCAACAAACTCTCAGTCTCCACAAACATCAAATCAATTCGAGATCCAACAGTTTGAAATCGACTCATGAAAAAAAAATGGGGATCCAGGGTCGGTACCTAGAACCTGCGTGGCACTCGCATACAACAGATAAGTACCGATAACGGGATAAAAAAAAACTGGGACACCAAGGCTCTCAGCACGAATATTCTCCTCCCCGGCCCATGAAAATAACACACAAATGCTATCCGCGCTATTGGCTAGGTCTGCTCCTCGTAGGCACCAAAATCTCAGTCCGCAGATGTAGCCTGTGAACTAAAGATTTGGGGAGGACAGCCTCACGCCCTTCCACCCCAGAAAGGCTCAAAGCCGACAGGGCCTATGTACTACGTACCTCGCGCATGTCCTGTCCAGGCACAGGTAGCCGGCCTGTAGCGCGCTCAATTTCAGCCATTCCCCTTTCTTCAAGCTGTTTCGTAAAGTTGAGGCACTTCATCTCGATTCGATGGCTTGAATGCGACCGGCATCGTCCTTACGCGGCCCCGACATCCCCGACCCCCCCTTCCACAACCCTGGGGCCTGTCCAATCCCTAGTGGGCGGTGGCATCGACTACTGTACACTATGTACCCTCCACTGGCGATGATGATGATGACGATGATGATACTCTACGAGAAGGCCAATCCAACCCCCGCTGGTTCGGTCTTTATACCGGCTGTTAGACCGCCGTTCAAAGGGACCTTCGAAATAAGAAGCCTTGTTCTATTTATATTAATGCCCGCCCGCGACATGGTGGAAGAATTACCCTTCGTTCCGTCGCGACCGAGGCTAACCAGTTTTTGACAAAAGACACCCTTGAAAGCTTGAGAGGTTAGCTCAGCCTAATGAGCCCAAGTCCAACATCAAATAATTAAAAGCGGGTCCCCGAGTATACGTGCAGAGGCCCCCAATTGCGTAACCGTGCATGAGAGACCCTCTATTTCCCACCGGAACGTCGCCCTAAACCCCCTTTGAGACGACATTCCCATGCAGCAACAAAAGTTCGACGGCCTGGCCAGCCAACGCTAACAGGGACCTTTGCTGCCGAGGGGGTTTGTACCTCTCTCCGGCTGGCTGGGGCACAGTATCCCATACTGTCTCCCTCCAATCGACGAAGTCTCTACTCTGGAGATAGGAGAGGCCTCCCCTCATTTTCCAGAGCCAGAATCAAGGTGTATGGAGCAACGTCCCAGAAGGCTGCACTGGTACCGAAACGCTGCCTTGTAGATCCTCCGTGAGACGAACGAGATTGATGTCTTGCGCTCTCTTTGATGAATGTTCGGGGCTTCTCAATACCCGGCCGACATCCGTATAGCGCATGATAAGGTTGGGAAGGAAGGAGCCGTCTCCCCGACGAGATGCAGAAATCGTTGGGGATTTGTGATAATTGCATATACATTGATGTGCTGCAAAGCTAATGGATCGGTGAACTGCCTATTGGTTGGGTACCGGATTGCAAGAAATCCGCGCAATCTTTGCAATCTATCATGATTGCTGCCACCGCTCGTCTCAGAGAGAAAGGTGGCGAGCAATGCAACATCTACTCCTTGAGTAAGGTCCGGAACTGTATGTCAAGAGTTCCTTTCCCGTGGCTCCCCTTTGCGCCGTCCTCTCTGGCGGCGTGTAAGAGCAGACCCAAGCTGCGGCTACAGCCTCCTCCGTTATTAATGGCCCTCTCCTAGCTTTGAGACCAAGACTCGATTGGTTGCCACTCAGTTATTACCAGCTTTACAGTTTTCTTCTCATATGAACTCGATATTGCTTCTGAACACCGGCCCAATCCCGAGAAACCCAAAGACCTTCCTTTACGAGCAGTGACGTAGCCTTCTAATGTGGGTGCACACCACTAAATATGAGAGAAAGGCCTCCCGATGACGGGCAAGAAACTCAACACTGAACCCTCTTAAAGCTTGGATGGCACTTCCCGTTCGTGCACCACTATCGCTGGTAAATACATCAATTCAAACTAGTCATGTGTGCCTGTGTGCCCTTCGGGCTCCCGAGTATCAACTTTTCGATTATGTCCAGCCTTCGGACACAGGAGGGAGACACATTTGGTCAGGCTACCCCGAGGATGTACAGAGCTACGAGGCTGCAAAGTACTCGTCCTCCGACCTGAAGAAAACGCACTTGAGCTTGAGGCCTGGTGGCCTGGTGGCGGGTTGCGGCTGCTCCCCCTGGCGCAGAACAATCCCTAGGACATGGGACAGATAGGACTTCCTCCGAAATGCATTTTAGTTTCCCCCATTCGAAAAAAAAAAAAAAAAAGTGGAACGGTACGACCTTCTCTCCTACCCTTGATAGTTCATCCTATGACAGATTTGGAAGCAACACTACAAAGTAATACTTCGTACTTCAGAGTACATCAATGGCCTTTCCAGACGATTGGATTCTTGGTATGCACGAGTACACGGTGACAGGATACCGGTGTGACTGGCAGGATCTTAAAAGTGCGGGACTACGATGAGCGGGTGCGTCCCGTATGTATATGAATGACTGCTGTTGTTCTTCATGTGTCCATGCTACGCACATACGAGGCATACTTCTCAGTCCTGAGCAAGTGGTAATCGACAGCCGAGTAGATTCTACCAAATCCAAGTTTCTACACATCAATGATCGTGATAGGATGACTGGTACTAACGGTACAACTTGACACTATCTAGGACCATCTAGGCAGCTTGTAACCGCGAGATGGGACTTACACTGGGAGATTGCCAACTGAACTCCGTTCCGGATTTTATAATGTATCCAAACCCGTCTTAAGGATCTTGATCTGTGACTTCTTACAAGTTTCCCTCCTTGGCGTTACCAACAAGCTTCACCGTCCTGACTTGGCAAATGGAGATGGCCCGATCGACGTGAAAACACCACACTCCCCAGGCTCGATCAATACTCCGTACGCAAGTTAGGTTCCTGAATACCACAGTCCACCCGACGGCCAGCTTAAATGTTTTAAATCCGAAAGGCAAAGTTCCGCATCAGGTTGATTAAGTTTGTTGAATCGGGAAGTGAGTATGTACTTGATACAGTGTGGACAATTATCTAAGTTACTGTTGTACCAGCCCTGGTCCGCAGTCTCTTGACTTTGGTCTCTGGTCTGGTCCGGTCCGAACCAGTCTCTGTACCCACCCTCCACCTCATCCAGTCCCTGTGCTGACCACGCTAGGAGAAAAGGCCAAAGTAGTGTGGGCTTGTGGTGCGGTTGTAACTTGTGCTGCCCCATATCATTCATCATTGATGGTCGGCTCCGTCTCTCCTTCTTCGATATTGATACAGGAGTGTACGAAGTACTTCGTAGTGTACACCCCAGTACACCCGCGAAGGTGTAACCACGGCGCAACTATGATTGAAGAAGCTGCAATGAGACCAGTGGCGGATTCCCACTTCCCCCTTCGAGTCATCGGACGGTACCTCCCAAGTATTTTGCTTGAATTGATGTCTTCCCTGTGCCTGTTGACGCCTTGCTAACAGGGCTGGACCACCACTAACGACACGCCAGACACACACACTCACCCCCCGTTCTCTCTGCCCTTCCCTTTTCTCTCATTCCCCGGCGCTCCTCTCTTCCTTCGCCTTCCCCAGTCGTACCGCAGTTGGATCACTTTCACTCACGCGAAGGCTGGCTTACTCAACCTTTTCCTTCTTCCAATTTTTGATGTATGATCCTCCTCCATTGACCTAACCCCTGTCCCCCTCGACTTCCCCTCGCATCTCCTCATCACCTGTCACCTTCTGCATAACCGTGTTCCCTTCTCACTACCATCTCACCTCGGGAAGGTACATATATGCACCCTACCTGACTTTGACTTATACCATATTGATCTCATATTGATCTCTTCAACATATCCCGTACAAACTAGATCGAAATAGACTTTCACATTCTCTTTTTCGTGTAAGCCCTACAACATCCCACACCCCCAACACCCCCAGCATTCCCAGCACACCCCAGCACACCCTGGCGCAAATAAATCGCCGTCCCTCCAATCGCTCCAGCCTTGCCCGTTGCAGTAATACTTATCTGAACATTGACGTAAACACCCAACGAGGGCTTCCATCGCTCTTGACCCGCCCCCTCCTCCCTGTTGACTCTACCCCTCCGCCGTGCTGTCATCCTCTGCCCTATAGCCTAGTCCCATCTCCGCTACCGCCACTGGCCGCTCATACTTCGTCCCTCTCAACTCCCTTTTGACTCTTTTGACTCAAAACACACCCCGTTCTTCCCCCTCAAACCATCCTAGAGTGTGCGTCTTACTGCATAACCTTCAACCACTTCCCCCCTGGCTGGCCACGTTAGTCTTAAAACCCATACACCACTTTACTGCGTCCCGCCTTCATCTGGTTCAGAGATCGACTTTAGATCTGAAGAATCACATCTCAGCACGCGTTCTCAGATTTAGTCCTCGTCAACTTTTCTGAGTCTGTGTACCATACTCAGCGCCGATACAACCGCGCGCATCAAGTTGAAATCCGCAACCCTCAGACCTTGAACATTTTCCAGGAATTCATTCAAGAATAGCGTCAGGGATATCGCGACGGGCAGGGTATTCCTCCCCCATTCTCCCTCGCCAGCTCTCCGCCGCGGGAGCGGTGCCCCGCCATCATTTACATTCGGAGATGCCCTCACTGGCGTCTAGGGAACGGCGAAGTCTGTGGGCTCAGAGGCTAACAGAGTCAGAGGGTAGAGCGGGAAGTAGCTTGGTCCTGCCCAAATGGTGAGCTTTGCCGTCAATAGACCTTCTTATCATCTGATATCGCAGAGCATGAGTATTCTTGTGTCTCCTCCTGCCCGAAGTTTGTGCTGACAGGCGCCAGTCTCCGACATCCCCTGAGGGGTCCGACGACGATCCTACCGGGGTCGCATCTCAAGAGTGGAATGCCCAAGATAGCGGCCCTGGTCAGGATGGCGCCTCACCAGCCGGGAGTGGAAAGTCGGGTACTGACGGAGAAGGTAAAGATGCGGCCGGCAACGACGCGCCAAGTCTTCCTGTCCAGAAGCGCCGACGTGTTACTCGTGCCTGCGATGAATGCCGTCGGAAAAAGATAAAATGCGACGGAAAGCAGCCGTGTACTCACTGTTCTGTGTATAGCTATGGTAAGTTTCGCCATTGGCCACCTTCTTAATCATGATCAGGATGGGAAATGGGAATGCAACCTGGCTACGGCCACAACTTAATGTCAGGCGGCAAAATCGTAGCTAATTCGGTCTTTTATAGAGTGTACATATGATAAACCCTCGAACCGTAGGAGAAACCCGGCGCCGCAGTACATCGAAGCGCTAGAAAACCGACTACAACGAGCTGAGTCCATGCTGCGCAAATTCGTCCCCGATGTCGATCTTTCAGACCCCGATCTCGACCCAGCTGTTAAGCAGGAGTTCCGAAATCGAGAACTTGCGCGTGCTCAAGCAGCCAAACTCAAGCAGGTACAATCTGGATTTGATGCAGATGTTGAAGATGGGCAGATTATGTCCATGATCGAGTCGATTGGCCAACTTGACCTAGATGATGCAGGGGGTTGGGATTTCCACGGCGCGAGCTCCGGTGCCGTCTTCCTTCGCAGGATGAAGGAGCACTTTCGGGGCATGCTGGGTCCTACCGAAAAGGTCCCGTTCCTTCCTCGCCCGGAACGGCCTCCGGGACTCATGCATATCGAATCTCCACAATCCGGCGCCAGCTCGCCCTTCGATTCCACCAGCTCTCTCTCGTTGGAACTCCCATCCAAGGATGAGATTAAAGATTTGTCTTACTATTCACTAAACTGCGCAACTTGCCTAATTCGAATCGTCCATATACCCTCTTTTTACGAACAACTTGACGCCGTTTATGACAAGACTTACGACACTCTCACTCGCGACGAATACCATTTCCTAGGCCTCGTCTACGCGGTCATGGCCCTCGGCTGCATGTATAGAAATCTCGATCCCGAAAAGCCCCAGAAAGCGGCGTATCGGGAAGCCTTGCAGGAAGGGTACGTTCCATCCAGATTTCCTCCGAGGCATATGACGAGTCGGAGAAAGGGCTAGAGATTAACTGACTTGCTATCCGTGTAGGCTACGCTATTATAATTGTGCGAAAACAGTCCTAAGGGACTTGGCAGAGTGCAGGGACCTTACTTCACTTCAAGCATTGATCTTCATGATTCTGTTCCTCCAAGCTACTTCGAACCTCAGCGCTTGCTACGCCTTCCTTGGGATTGCTTTAAGATCGTCGTTGCGGATGGGCCTCCATCGTCACCTAGAGCATCGCTTAATATCCCCTATCGAGCAAGAAGTGCGGAGACGGGTGTTCTATGTTGTGCGGCAAATGGACATTTATGTTTCTACCCTCCTAGGTTTTCCTTTGCTTCTACGGAACGAGGATATTGATCAGAAATATCCCAGCGAGTTGGATGACGAATACATCCTCGCAGACGGCCTTCATCCTCCACCTGGCGATAGCCCGTCACTATTCCAGGCGTTTAACGCACATACGAGGCTGATGGAGATTCTCGCGAAGATCGTTAGGCATGTCTATCCGACACAAGGATTCAACCAAGGGCAACCTTCGATGGGTAAAGGGAGGGACCCTCTCAATACGACTTACATCATCAGCTACGCCAGGATTAGGGAAATCGAGAAGGATCTCCACGAGTGGTACGAAAAACTCCCGGAAATCTGGCGGCCGAGTCCCGAGGGTCACGTTGAGGTAGTCCGGTGAGTGATTTTCCACAACACTGCTTCTCGATTTATGATGCTTGTAGTGTCCTTAAATGGCATCTACCATTTAAGCGGGGCAATCAGCGTCCTAACAGGCCAATTTTAGAATTCGGCACCTCCTAAGGTTCGCCTATGCCCACGTCCAGCTTGTGTTGTACCGTCCATTCCTCCACTATGTCTCGCCTAGGCTCAGCCGGGGCAAGAACATAGACGAGCTTTCGTACGCCTGCGCAGCGGCGGCCATTAGCGTCTCGCGGAATATTGTGCATATAGGCATTGAAATCAGAAAACAAGGTGTCCTCATCGGTCCGTACTGGTTCATGCTTTACACAGAATTCTTCGCCGTCTTATCACTCGTCTTCTACGCGACCGAGAACCCTCAGAAGAATGGCACGGCGGAAGTGTTAGGGGATGCGATTGCTGGGAGAAACATGATCGCAGATCTTGTCGATGGCAGCCTCGCCGCAGCGCGGGTAACTAAGGCACTTGATGTGAGTCTAATCGAGCGCCTTCTACTTTGGAGGGCGGCAAGCCTTACGAATTTGTACTAACGGGTGTTTTGAGCCTTTCCAGGTTCTTTTTGAGGAGCTGCCAAAGAAGATGGATCTCCCATTCCCGCGCCAGGCAATGTCGAAGAAGCGTCCCATGACAGCAAAGGATGACTCGGCTGGGCCATCAACTCTGCACCGACGACCCGAAGAGCTACCGCCGCAACAACCTAACTCCTTACCTAGAACTTCCATTTCTCAGTCATCAACATCGAGGGGGTCATTTGACAGTGCATCACTACCCGCTGGGGGCTTCCATCCAGACGCATTCCCGGCCAATCTCCAGGACCTCCTGCCGCTCGATATGGCCTCACGCACGACACCCGATACCACAAGTAACGGACCCGCCGGAATACCTCAGGGGTCCGGTTACGTGGGCGGCCAGAGCGCGAGTTCGGCTTCGCTCAACAAACTCGACGCCCTCATGTTCCCTTCGGAGGATCCGTTCGACTACCCGAACCAGCCGATGATGGAACTTGGTCTACAGCAGAAACTGGGACAAGAACACTCGATGCAAAACCAAGGCCAAGGATCCCATGACTCGTCGCAGTTTTTCGTTCCGGGACCCTTTGACGATGTAGAGTCGCAGCTTCTTGGTCAAATGCCGCCCTTTATGATCGACCAAGCGCAACAGGGTATGGATTTGCCCATTCCCATGTTCACTAATGATTTGACATCCCACGGCCACGCTGCGTCACCCAACCCGGGCCAGGCACAGGCGGCGCAGGCAAGCCAGCAGAGTAGAGTGGAGCAGCTGCGGCGTCAACAGCAACAGATCCTCGCAGCCCAGCGGTTCCGCACTGATTGGGCGGCGTACGGCAGGGGTACGGGAAGTTTCCACTGAACCTGATTGTGGAGTCGGTGTTGTTTATTATGGTTTGCTTCCGTCCGCCAGGCGGAAAATAATAGGGACATCCTTCAAAAGGGAAGGGGGGGGAAAAATGAAAGGGAAAAGGAGAGAGGTATGGAAACAACGCACGTTAGCATGAGCTCGAGATGTAGTCCATATCCGCGATTCGCAGGCCGAACATTTTCATGCCATGGTTAGGCGTTAAGGCGGGGGATGTCAGCGGATGATGACAACGACCCATGTGGAAAATGCCCTTCCTTTTTCTCTCTCATTCTCCGGGACTTGGAAGGTGTTTTGATATTGTAGGAGCTAGTGCACGAACGACAGGGAGGAGTTGTCTCCCCCCCCCCCCCCCCCCCCCCCCGCCCCCGGGTCTGGGTATCTTGGTGTATATCACCCTGCCTGCGGGTACATATTTTGAGTCCTTGTTGGATAGGTTTTTATTTGAGAGTATATATCAATGAATAATCCAGTGATAAGGGAACCTCAATGATGAGTTTTTCGTTTTCTTTTCCCCTTGTTTTTGGGGCAGGGTTCGTGGAGCCGGACGATCACGGGAAAGTAGTCGGCGGAAACGTCTTCGTTGTCTGGCCTCCAGAGAGGGTGATATACCCTCGGCGAGATTGTATTTTTGTCAAGAGGCACTTCATGTTTCTGTTTTCATAGTGGACCATCGGGGATATAGTGTCCCACTTCAAGCTGGAAACGTCGAGGCCCGAGGGTCAAAGACATGAAAGCTTAGAGAAACGAGGCTTGACTTTATTCATTCATCATTGTGCCATCAACGACAGATCCTCTTGTAAAATATATGCATATATATATGTGCAGCCAAGGGGGAGAAAAAAAAAACGAATCAGAATTCAACCAAGCAAGTGAAGACATGCTTCCAAGAATGACCTAGCCAAATCCCATCCTATCCATCATCTGAAAGTCTATAAACACATAGAACAAGCAAAACCAAGATCATCACCAAGACCAAAACCGCCATGTTTGAGACACAAGTGTTAAATAAAACCCCGATAAAACCATCATGATACTCTCCCAGCGTGTTCCGTTCAACCTTTCCATAAGCCATTTCAACCTCAAAACTCCCGTGGAGAGGAGAGGTGGGTATAAAGAAAACAAGACCGCCAGTTTCCACGCCAATAGTAAACCAAGTCCAACTCGAATGCCGTCATTTCATCGCCATTCTATAGCCCATTTTGTAAAGTAGATAGTCCGTCATCCCCATAATCGCCGTACGTAATTCAAAATATCCGAGGAATAAAAAAGAAAGAGTATAAAAAGAACCTAGTTCTTTCGTGCTCGCTTCCGCCTTCCGCCAGAACTGCCCTCCTCGCCATCTTCGTCGGTATCGTCGCGGGCGTGTGAATTTCCCGATTTCTCGTTACCCTTCTTGATGGAAATGAGACACCCCTGCTCCTTGAGCCTCTTGGTGAGGGGCGTGCTGGCTTGCATCCCGGGGAAGTCCTTCGCGTTGTACACGGTAAAGACGTCGCTCATCACTTCGGCCTTGATGGGGAACTTCTTGCCGCCCTGGGTGCTCGTAATGGGGTCGATGATTACGAGGGCAAACTTGAGGCGGAAAGATCCGGGGGTACGGCACGACAGGTCTGGGAAGCAGAAGAAGCAACCTTCCTCGCCATTCTCATCAAGCCCGACAAAAGGTGAGGCCACAAGTGTGCCCATCAACCTTCGCTGTTGGCGGTAGTCTTCGGGCATCGCGGAATTATCCTGCTCTCCGGTCGAATCCCAGATGGAGCAGTGCATGACGGAGAAAGGGTATTTAATCCGCTGACTAATCTCTTCCCTGGAGAGGCTCGGGTCCTCAATAGTAAGTTGAACAATCGGGGGCGGATCGATGACTCGTCGGTCCCTCTCGCCAAAGCCGCAAGACCGTGCTGCTACGGGTTGTTGGCGAACAGTTATTCGGTATTCGGACCGTGTTGACGGTAGACCGGCTATAGGCATCGGAGGCTGTGGCACAGCGCTGCTACGTTGGGGTCGGGCTTGGGGCTCTTCGTTGCTGAGGAGGTCGGAAATCTTCACTCGCTCGGTCTTCGTGTCTAGCCTGGGCGACCAGGTTTGGTGATTGTGGGGGCTCGAGGGTTGAGGAGTTGGTTGGTAATGGGCATTCTGAGAATATGCCGGCGGAAGCTTCGCAGGATGCATCTCAGAGTAGTGGTCCTCGACGGACCGTCTCTTGTTGTGACGTATGGGCTGCGGTTGGTAAGGTTGCGGTGGGTGTTGGGGATAGGCAGGCTGCTGCTGTTGTATCCTAGGGAGGTGTGGCACAGGCCCTTGTGAGATCCGCGCATCTTGGAAGTCTTCAGCCGACCTCTCGCTTGCCGTCGATGAGAGAGTGGGGGATACTCGGGCCAGATCTTGTACAGGGTTACGCTTTTGTTGGGCTAGAGCAGCAAGATGGTGAAGGGGTTGGCTCGTAGGAGGAAGCAGCGGCGGTGACGATTGCTGGATGGGAGAAGGCGTCTGATAGTCGTGGTATCCGTAGGAAGGCTTTACCGCGGTGTGAAGAGGAGGAGGCGGAGGCGGATGAGGCGCGCCTGTGCTGATGGAGTTCATGGCATTGTTATTTGTCGCAGACGTGGGTGGTTCGTGGCCGCTAGGTGCGCCAGACATGAGGCTCGAAGGCGGCGGCAACCGCATGGAAGGCTGATCAGCGGGATAGTAGCTGGTCGCACCTACATGCCGAGCAGCGCCATAAGGTGGCTCGTGTATCCATCCGTTTACTGGCCTAGCCATTGTGTCCACCATGGTATAGCCAAAGTTGTGTCTTGGGATAGACTCGACAGCCGTAAACGACATGTATGCAAATAAAAAGGCGTGAAAAACCGCAAAGGCACAAGATGCGGAGAGTCGATTAGGTATGGCAGCTCTACTATGCCAATCGTCGCCGTCTTCTCTGGCTGGGAACACAAAACTACGTTAACACTCGCCGATGTGAATGCCGATTGGCAAAAGATATATCTGCCTGCAGTAGCAACGTGGAACACGAAGGTTCGGAGTGCCAGGTGCCAGGTGGGCGGGTAAGGGCAGGTCGGGACAGAGTTCGCAAGGCGGGAGGGGAGAGATCAAGGATACGCGTGTGTAAGTTGTGCGATTTGGATTGGGTTGTGTTTCGTGTGATGCTCGGAACGGGCGTCCGGAATTAGCGGTATGGTTGGGAACAAAACTTACTTGATTATGTGTCACAATAACGGGACTCTTGGATGCAGGACTGTCGAAGCTGCCAGAGTATCTTGCAACTGAAGATTACCTCTCGGAGATGCTGGTATGCTATGGACCTGGGGGACGGAAGGAAAGAGAAAGCTGAGAATTCTAAAGTTGTAGGAGAGCCAATTAAGGGTTGTTGACCATGTTCAAAAGAAATAAGGTCCGGTTGCCAGGAGGAATGCACGAGAGGAGAAGAATCGGGCTCGACGTGGAGGTAAGTCAGTGAATGGATGTCCAGAAGTCGCTCCGCGAGTAAACAACGCCTATCTTCGACCGGCACACTTGTAATAAGAAGTGCAGTCGAATGATGCCAGCTGGTGGCTACATATATCGGCAGTGAAGGGCGTCCAACTTGACTACGGCTGAGGCTAACGGGCTTGGATGGTCAAGTAAAGATCTAATCGAGAGAGGGCGGATTCGCGATACTGGCCAAGGCCCAAGAAACTGCAGGCAGCCAAGTGGCGCTGCCCTTTCCCGTTGAAGAGGTTGCCCAAATAATTGTCTTCGTCCACTCGTGGGAGCTTGCCTAGTCGGCGCGAGGGAGAAATTGGTCGTCTTCCGGTAATGAGACGCTTTCGACAGGTTGAATCTGGCGCCGAATATGACACGACACGACAGCTTTGAGGTTGCTGCAAGAACGAGCGGTGGCGATGCAGAAGAGGTGGTGGTGGCTTAAGGCTGGGCGAATTGTAGCGTAACAAGAAGCCAAATTGGTTCGCGACGTCGACTTGCGGTTAAGGGAGACGAGAAGAGAAAAACCACGACACCTGGCAGAGAGAACCAAAAATGGGGCTTGAAGGTATTATAAAGAACGTATTGGAAAAGCAAGTAGGCGCGTGTGCTGGAAAAGAGTGGAGAATGATGATGGAGGAAAAGCAAAGTGAAGCAAAGTGAAAAGAGGGAGAGACCGAAGAGATGAAGGATGATATCTTTCCTCCTTTCTTTCTTTAAAGCACCCGGCGTCGAGAATATGAGCTGTATAAGATGGAAAGCGGAGGGTGACCCAAGGTATATATGCACACATTCGAGAATTTGGCAACGAAGAGGATGTCGTAGGGCGATGGGAGAATGAGATATAAGGACGTGGGATCAATCATGTACATGTATATTGCAAGGCAAGAGATAATGTACAATGCTTTCCAAGTGTGCCAAGAACAATGAATGGTACTCGGATGGGACCAAACCCAGGCTGAGGCGTGGGAAAAAAATGGTGGAAAGCGCCAGCCAAAGACGGTAGCGGTGGAGAGTAACAAGAGGAAGGTACGGCAGTGCATCTACGGTACGGTACGGAGCATTGCCCACCTGTCACTGAGGACGAGGAGAAGGCACGGGAGATCTAGACGGAAGGAGAGGGCCTGTGACTGGGCTGCGACGGTACCATACTGGAGTATATCGACAAGCAGCCACCACCACATGTTTTTGCTACTGACCGGGTACACTAACGGGTACTCTTCGTTGTGTGACTTTGACACGACGACACAACTGCAGCGCCAGGCCTAGCCAGCAGGCGGTACCCTCCCATTCTGCGCTAGCGTGCTCGCTACCCACTGATCGCCTCGAGTTCCTCAGCACTCTCTCGCCGGTTGTCTGGTTGAGCTTGGTTCAGGTTGTTTGCAGGCTGCATGTGACTAGATGTACTCAAGAAAGCGAGGAGGAAACGGTGGAAACGGGGGAAAGTGAGAACGAGGAGTTCCCAGGCCGAGGCCCGCCTGCAACTCAGGGCTCTCCCTGTGCCGGGTAGACGCAAATGGCTTCCAGCA